AAAGATTACGAAGGAAGCGTAACCTTGAGCAGAAATTACGTAAAGGGCCGGAAAGCCAAAAAATGCTTTCAAAACAAATAATGTTCACGAATTTTCCGACCAACCAATCGCCAAAAAATGTCCAGAGTATCGTAGTGAAATCGCCGACAAGCTCAAAAGGTTACTAAACGTATATTTCCTCATACCCTGCCGAATAAAACATTCCTAAAAAGTGAAGAGAGTATCTTAGTAGATTACCGCAACTTCAGATAAGCTTAAAAATTTGTAAATGAATTGCTAGGTTTTACTAACTTGTTCCGCATTTTCTCTCAACTAGGAAATTCGTAAAAGGTGGCCAGAATACCGTAGCGTTTAAGAAATGGCTGCAACGCCGCTAAGATTGAATATTCGAAAAAGCTTGATCTTCCTCCTTCCACCACCAGGATTCACCACACCCAAGAGTCAAGGTAAAGAATGGGCGGAAATCATAGGCAAAACTTGTGTGTATTTATGTTGTCCGTCAATAGGAGCGGAGTGGAGGCGCGGAGAAGGAGTTGTCTCCCCTCCACCTCCATGTATGGCTGGCTGGGTGGGGTGGGGGTGGAGATTGAGCCTTTGGTTGAGCGGTCATTGAGCCGCGCCTAAAAGAAGAAAATCGAGCATGAGAAGGGATCCAGGGCGAGAGGATAAAGGTCAAATCTCTGCAAGATCCTGGGCTGTATTGTTGACTCCAGGAAATGGCGGTGTTTCCGCTGTTACGGTCCAATCTATGAACGCTTTCGCGCGCTGACGCGCTGCGGAGTGAGACGCGACATTTTACACTGGAATTCTCAGCAGCAGTTTCAGCAGAGACTCCGGTTGCCGCGTTGCGACTCGCGGTACGGTGGCCCTTTTCTGGCGTTCTAAACGTGCGTTCGCGTCACGGCTCGCGGTCGAAAGCCGAAGCTTTTTTAGTGCTCGCTAAACGCGTGCGGTACGACCCCGAGGTCGAAATCCCCTTGATCCATCCCTATGACAATTCCTCGATGATACTAGCTATATAAAAAATTGCTAACGTTCCATGACTGCCATCCTGCCCGCACTTTTTCATAACCTTTCCCTTTGGACTTTGACACAGCGTCGCACTTTTTGATCGGCGAAACAGGCTTTCCGTGCTGCCCCTAAATGCGCCAATTTTCAGCTAGTCCAAGGTGCACTTGGTGTTTATATTTCCCTAGACTGATCGGATCATTTCCGGTATATCGCGTCGGGTACCGTAATCCCTGAGGATTCCGGATCTTTTTGACCGTATTCCCCCGGATTTTTCCACTGTCACCTGGCCGACCGACTGTAAAAACGGATTGATGGATCGGGGGCGGGTATGGGCTGTAATTAGAAGGCCTCCACCAATGACCGCGTTTGACGTAGTCGCGTAATCGAGTGTACGCTACACTCCACTGTACACCTTTGCGAAAACTACACTTTTGCGCTGTGCCCTTGATTTGCAAGGTTGATTAGAAGGTTGATGAGAAGTCACTTTTGTGAATGTTTCTTGAGAACGAAAACATGTGTATATCCAGTTTCGGAGAAAGTTTAAAGGGTCGGGAAAATGTTAAAATCGACCCCATGGTGCGACTAGGTCCCGAAAGCTACGCAATGACACGAGCGCGTCCCTTATTTTAAAGACGAAATTTTCCGCACAAGTCCGATGTCCCTAGACAAACTCCGTTTAACGATTTTAACCATGTTTACGCGCATGCCTAGTTGTCGAGACCTAGGAAACAAGTAGGGGTCGATTTTTAGCGCTTGTTCGTTCCTTTAAAAACACTCAGAGGCGCCGGATTTGATGCGTGTAGAAGTAGCTAGAATTTTCTCTCCCTCTCTCTCTCTCTCTCTCTCTCTATACTCTCTCACTCTCTATCTCTCCCTCTATCTATCTCTATAGCTCGAACCAGACCTGCTCTAGCATTTGGCGGCGATACGCAGCGCGGCCGCAACGCGTATATGCAGCGATTCTTGTAGCCCGAAATTTACGGCTTGTTCCTTCCCTGCCAAAACCGTGATAAATGAGTTTTTGATCTCACGACGCGGCGCAAGTACTAGACGACTTCCGGATCACTCCAATACACGTGCTTCTGCCGTTAGTACTGGTGGTGGTGTAGGGAACATTTGGCGAACAACCCCACCCTTGCTTCACCATTCTGTCAGCACGCCGTTGCCCCAGGGAGGTTCCAGTTTCTCAGCTTTGTCTCTTGTCTTGTCCTGTCTTGTCTTGTCCCCATGATTTGTGTTATCAAATTTTGATCAAAACGATCCATAAAATCCGCCAGATGCGACAGTCGTAGAAGGGTAAACAATTCTCGTCCGACATCTTCAAGGAGTCTGGTGAGCGCGAATTTTAGCTGGATCGCTCAGATCACTGTTTTTAGCGGAAGCACAGATTACCCCGCGCCAGATTTACACCAACATTTGGCAGTCTAGCAGCGGTTCTGTAGGAATTTTCGGGTGCTGAATTTTTAGCACAGCGGACATCAAGTTTTTACAGCTTTAGAACGGAAAGATTTTAAGAAGTGGAAACAGCTGAAGTTCAATCAATCATTCTTTCGAAGGCTACTTCCGGTTTTCGAAAATAGTCAATTTTGAGCTGTTGTTTGTACCTATCATTTTCTGCGGGTTCGGCGAGACAGGAGAGCAGCTAATCGTTTGATTTTACGATCCTCTGTCTGTATTTTTAGCAATGTCTTGTCCGTTTCTCTCTCTCTCTCTCTCTCTCTCGCTCTCTCTCTCTCTCTCGCTCTCGCGGACAGCTTGTTACTGCCGAGGGAAAAGCCGAGATGTTTGATGTGTTCGCCGGATTCTCGTGTTAATTAGACGGAGAAAATTGAGGAAAATTTATGCCGACAATCCGACGTCTTTTTCAGCATACCGGCTTCACTTTGTCCTGAAAATAGAATTTTTGACTAGAGAACTGCAATTTTTAAAATCTCCAAGAATTCGATATCACCTGCGCTCCCTCCGGCTTCATCATCAAGTCGACGTCCTTCAGCTCGAATGTCTGGCCGTGGAGGTATTCGGCCGGGATGAAGTACTGGTTCTCTTGCTTGCAGGGCTGGAAATAATCTTGGAAGTAGAGCGAGAGAGAGAGGGAGAGAGAAAGAGAGGGAGAGAGAGAGAGACAGAGAGAGAGAGACAGAGAGAGAGAGAGAGCGTCAGAGAGTGAAAGAGACAGTGAGTGAGAAAGAGGAGGTTTTAAAAGTTAAGGACAAAAACTCACCGCAACCACGTTGCATTCATGAACGAGCTTAATGTAGTACCTTGGGCGGTGGAGAAGCTGGAAAATTCATTTTTTGTCGGTTTTAAAGTCGGTTTTCTGGAACTTGTTTTACAGTAAAAAAAGCATGATTCGTCGCCTACAATATTATTGACCGCCTTGATGCCAAATGTCCCGTCGGCCGTCGTCACCGAGTGGGTCACCTCCACGTCGGTGCTCCCTGAAAGAAGACTGGAAATTACGAGAATTTTTACATTCGTTCTTCTCCCAGAGTTCGACCCGTTGCTCGGCCCAGGCCTTCTCGCCGCACGTGATTTTGCCCTGAAAATGGAAATTCTCGTTAGAGATTTCCTAAACGGTGTTTGCTAGCTTGCCTACACAAATAATTTTTAAAAATTTCTGCTGACTCTCTGACTCGCTCTACCTATCTCGCTCTCTCGCCATTGCTCTATCGTTTACGCTCTTCCTCTCTCTCGCGCCCTCTCACTCACGCTCTCACACACTCGCTCTCACGCTCTCTCTCACTCTCTCTCTCACTCTCTCTCTCTCTCTCTCTCCCACTCTCGTCCAAAAAATCCCCATCTTTGCTAGGTCGCCGAACATAACGAACCGTGGCGTAAACTTCGTGGCGGCTCGCTGTCGCTAGATTTGAAAATATCAAAACTACGGTAGCTAGCGACCAGAAAATCATGGGGATCGTAATGCCCTTGAATATCCACAGAAAATCGACCGCCTTTGTTGGCCTTCTTGAAATTCTGCGACAACCATCTTGGCGTCGGGCAGAAATTAATTTTCCGAACACCCCCCACCGTTTCATCGAGTCTTTCTGGTCGTACAGAAATGGGACTGTTTCGAAACTATGATAAGGCCAAAGAAAAAGTCAAAAACTTTAAAAAAGCTCATGTAAACGTCTTGAAACGCGGTTTTCAAATGGTAATTTAAAAAAAAGCAAGAACGACAACACGATAACGAAACACTTCCTAAAGACCGCAAAGCGAAAATAAATAGATAAAACTTTCTTTCGCAGATGCACAAAGCCAAATAACACGGTGAAAAGCGAAACAACGATGAAAAACCACCTAACGCTTGCTCCCCTAGAAAATGCCCAGGTACCGTATAACCGATTACGCAAAGTATTTTCTGCTCCGCAGTTTTTGCTTTATTTATATTTTTCATTCTACATTTCGATCTTTGAGAGCAAAAACGACAAAAAAAAAACGTAGAAAACTACAGCAAACCGGAAAAACGAACCAACCGCCTCTTGCGCCCTAAAGACTGCCCCGCTACCGTACTCCGTATGTATTTTTAGCCCCGACATTTGATTTATTTCTATTTTTCCCGTTTTTGGAGGGTCACACCCCGCGCTACGCGTACCGTTTTTTGGCGTACAAACTGTTTGATTTATCGCCCATTTGCGCCGCGTCTCACCCATATCGTCGACCCCCATCAAAATCCCTAAACGGCTGACAAATTGCTTTTCTTCCAGCGCGCGCACGTGTTTTTCGTGTTTTCACGCTTCTTCGATACGGTTTCATCAGTTTCGTTCTTTCCATCGCTCTCGCCTGACTTTTTGACTTTTATACCATTTTTCTAGAAAATATAGAATTTAGAAAATTGCTGTTTTTTTCTCGGGCGCGCTCGTCTGCTTCGTGTTTTTACGTTTCTTGTATATCTTTTCAACACTTTTGTTATTTCTATCGTTTTCTCTTACTTTATTACTTTTATCCCCCTTTTATAGGCCCTTCAACCGTGCTGATTCGCCGCCTACAAGATGACAAAGTCGGACCTGTCGCGCTCCATGTCTCGCCTGCGCCCGTTCAAGGATGTCCAACCAATGGGGAAAGAAGGTAAAACATCTCCTGACGCTAAGTATAGGCCGTTTTCTAAAATGCTCTCCGTAGTTTTTCAAAAACCCGTGGTTTCAAAGAAATGAAGAATTTACGTGGTTTTTACGGGATTTTTGCGTGATTTAGAAGCATTTTATAGCCCTGCAAGGTTGGCGAGACTATTGGTATCGTTTCTAGGTACATTTTGTAATCTCGTATCCGTTACTATTAGGTTTTTTGGGTTTGGTGGGGGGGGGGGGGGGGGGAAAAGTTGTTTGTTTTCTTTTTTCTTTTTTTGATATTTTCTTTTTTTTGCAATCCCATATATAAAATATAAAAAATTTATTAATAATTTTTATTTTTTTTAAAATTATTATATTTTAAAAATATAAAAAAAATAAAAAAAATTAAAAATTTTTTTTAAATTTTTTTTTTTTTTTATTTTTTTTTTTTTTTTTTTTTTTAATTTTTTTATTTAATAATAAAAAAAAAATATAATAAAATTTTTTTTTTTTTATAATTTTTTTATATAATTAAATTTATAAAAAAAATAAATTGTTTTTTTTTTTTTTTGGGGTTTTTGGAGAGAAAAATTTTTTATTTTTTTTATTATTTTTAAAAAATTTTTTATTTTTTTTTTATTAGATTTTAAAAAAAAAAAAAATTTTGATTTAAATTCAAAATAAAATAATTTAAGGGTTATAAAAGAAAGGGGAAAATTTCCCCCCCCCCCCTCCCCCTCACGGCTTTTACGTTCTATTTCCTATTGACTATTAAAGTTTTTCGAATGCTTTAGCAAATGCTTCTATCGGGTTGTAAGGCATAAAAAATGTTTATTTCTCTATTTTAATAAGCTAAGCACGTTGGTGAGGGTTAGCAGTAATTTTAAAGCATAGTTACGCGTTTTGAAAAAATTACGCAAATTATTCGTAGCTTTAAACTCGCCATACGGATGCTCTGGCTTTTTGCGACAGGCTTCTCCTACAAAAATTCAATAAACGGGTTTTTGCGTATATTTTTAGGCTTATTTTGTCTGCAGGTTAGGCTTCCCTTTCCCTGAGCTTTTATCTCGTTCTCTCGGCGTCGAATTTCCGCGCTTTCTACCCGTTCTGCGCCTATTTCCAGGATTCCCAAGGTTTCATCCAACCCACGCAAGCACTCAGCTTCCCGAGACGCGCCAAATTTAAATGCCCACCAAATCCGGCGTTCCCCGGGCGTTGTTCCGCGCTGGGCGTGCAAGTCACGGCTCTTTGCGCGTGTGCCGCGCTAAGCTGATCAATTCATGGTTGACCTCCTCCTCAGCGCGCAGCAGCAGATATTGGCTCCCCTAAATCACCGGGCCGGTGTTCCCGTTTTGTGCGTGTGTTTTTTTGCAAGCAGAGTCGTGCTCGCCCTCGAAATGGAGGGGTGCTCGTTGGCCGGCGGCAGCAGCAGCAGCGACATCACCCAGCGCGTGTTCGCCAACGTTGCCAACATTCAGCGGCGGCGTTTGTCTAGTGGGTAATGGGCAGAAAAAGGGTGTTCTTGGCCGTTTTGGGGTTTTTAGATAGAATTGAAATCTTGTATAAATGTTGTTTTAGGCCTCTCGACTGGGAAGTTTTTTAAGCGGGGACATCTCACTTTTTCTATTTTCTCTAGACGCCAGGTAGCTTAGACAAGCGCTTGATGCAGCAGAATAGCTATTTTATACTGATTTTAAAGGTTTCTGATCACGAAAAAGTTAGACAACTTTTAAAAACACTTAGCAATAAGTCTAAAAAAATCCAAATTCGCGAATTTCTTGTCAAAATGACTAAATTTCGACAATTCTGGAAGGTTTTAATGTGATTTCTATACTATCTGCGACTTCCTCAAAGTTATATAAAACTCTGTGTACTTTGTCAAGTGAAAAACTCTCTTTCCCCCAGCGCTACGAGCTCAGAATCGTCAGAAAACAGGCGATTTTCATTTGAGATCCGCTTTCACAACCGATACGTTAGCTTTTACGTTTAGTTCATAAATTTTTGTATATATCTCTCTTTTTTCAGGCTTCTCGGCAGCCTCCCTATCACTGCGCGCCCAAAAGAAGTTGGCCTCCCGCTTCGTCACCCGGGGATCTGTGCGATTGGTGAGCCCGGCGGCCGCGCGACTCCTCGACCGTTTCTATGAGGTGCTGGAGCGGCATTACACGAAGAAGGTGGCGGAGAAGGTAGATTTTATCTAGAGTTTTTGGAATCATTCCCCTGTCGTCTATATTTTGTTTCTATCCCTTTATCGTGCGTGATCGAGCGCGTTGCTCTCTATCTTCATCTTCGTACTTTTTCGGATTCGGGGGCAAAACGTAGATACTCTGCTTTTTCTCTTCTATGATACTTTTCTAAGAAAACTTATGAAAATCCTCATTTGTTAGAAATCGCCGCAGTTTTGTATCTTTATTTTTTGGAAATGATATTTGCTCTGTATCTCCCTTTTTATCGTGTTCAGAAACAGCAGAATGGCGTTTTTGATTGGTTTTTATCTTATGCCACTCTCTAGCGGACAAAAGGTTGAAAATCATAATTTCTTTCTTTTTTTCCGGGTTATATAAAACAGCATGACTTTTTTATTTTTATTTAATCTCCTTTTTCTTCCAGACGACAAAGAACATTGTGAAGATCATCGTGAAGCTGGCCCTCGTCGCCAAGTCGGGCAGCCTGGCCGAGCACGAGCAGGGCCTGCTCCGAAGTGCCACCCAACAACTCCACACCCTCTCCCTGACGATCGCCAGCTTTTACAGGGTAAATTTCTAACGTGATTTCCTCATTTTTTTTTAGTTAACAGGCTCCTACGAGCCGCTATTTATGGAGAAGCTCGTGCGTGAAGTGAAGAAGGCGCTCGAGCCGGTCGTCGGGCTGCACTTGAGCGACAAGAGCGAGAAGCGGTTGGCCCAGATTTTTGAGGTTTGTTGTTTTTATCGTTTATTTATATGCTAACCATATTTAAAATCTTTTGCCTGTCTTTTTAGTAATATTAGTATTGTTAAAAACAAGATTTGAGCAGGAAAACGTTTTGGAAATGGGGGAAAGTCGAAATATTGGGGATTTTATTTCGAAAACCGATTTTTCGACGGCGTTTAAAGGTTTATCATTTAGACGCTGGAAGATCCGGAGTTCTACCACGCGCTGTTCAGCACCCGCGGCGCCCTGTACGACGCGCTGCCGGGGATCGTCGACGAGCTCGAGGCGATGGTCGAACAGAAGGAGATTTGAATTTTTTTGTTTTTATGCTGATTTGTGATGTATTTGTGTGTGTGCCTGCTGCGGATTTTGTATATTTTGTGCTGTGTATAAAGCGTTTGAGATGAATTTTGCTAATTGTTTTTATAACAGGAAATGTTTCAGATTTTGCAAGTTTTCAGGCTGAACCCTATCAAATTTCAAATTTGCCACCGTGTCGTGCATGCCAAATTACCATTTTTGTATCGGAATCTTTTGTTTTTTGGAATTTATCTTCTTTCGCATTTTGACGCGCCTCGCGCCGTTTTCCGCAAGGTTTCTCGCCCACTTTCCGCGCGACTTCTGCTCCTCCCCGGCGGCCATGTTCAGCGTGGCCCGGCCGCTTTCGCCGCGCGTGATCTATGGCGGTAGCCTGGAGGGTTTGCCGGTTCGTTTTTGAGCAGCGGCTTTCGACTCCAGAACTTCAGAACACCCAAATCGTCGCGAGATGCCCATCATTGACCGCCCAGCGAAATGCCGGCTCGGGCTCGCCGGGAGCGACGGTGAGTTTTCGCGCAAACAAAACGCTCTGATCGTCTAGAAACGTAGAAATAGATATGAAACACCATCTAGAACGAGTAATCGAGCTGGCTTTTAGATTCACAGCTCGTCGAAACCCAGCGACGACACCCTACCCAAGCCGCTGAAGCTGGACGTCTGCGATTTGATGGGCTTCCGGCCGTTCGAGGTGGCGATTCACTACAAATACAAACGTCTAAACAACCAATTAAAATGCAGATAACGCCATGAAATTTCCAGATGCCCCGCGCGGACCAGCCGGAGAAGAAGCCGGACGCGTCGGTGAAGCTCTACCGGCGCATCATCAGCTACGCCCAGCCCTGCGCCCTTTGCCAAAAGGCCGTCAAGGTGTGGTGAGAAACTAGCGGCAAACTAGCCTGGATTTTTGTGGAAATATGGTCAATTTTTTAGCCTAAAACGCTACGCAATTTTTATCGCTGCCTTTTTAGACGAAAGCCCTGGTGGTCGTGCTCCCCTGCTCGCACATTTTACACCCGGAATGCGCCGACGAGGTAAAACGATCTAGACTTTTCTACAAAAATCTAAATTTTAATAACCGATTAGCATAAAGGAATCAAGATAGAAAAAAATATATAAAAAAGCCCCGAAGCGACGCAAAGCTGCTTCATTCAGATGACGTTCAACCATCGCCCGTGCGACCGGTGCGAGGAGCAGAAGAGCCAGCGGAAGAGTCTCAGCTTCTACCTGCTGCTCATGTTCTGCTGCTTTTAGCAGTTTCGGTGTTGCTTCCTCTCAGTGCTCCCTCGCTCGTTCGGCTTTTCCTCTTCTCTCGCTTGTCGTCCAATTCGTTCGGAGTCTAGCTACAGGGGCTCGGAAGTATCAGCACAAATTTGATTATGTTTTTGGTTTAATTCGCTTTAAAAACCGTCAAATACTTCCGGGCCCCTTTCAAAGCTTACACTTCTCTATGCTCTATGTTTTCTGAATTACGTGTTCCTTATACGCAGCGCCCCAAATTTACGCATTCGCTTCAAGAATAAACGTTACATTAAGACTGTACCGCCAAAATTAAGTCTACGCTTCAAGAGTAACTTGATATTAAATGCCATCAACTTCTGAATAAAGTACTTTGAAGAAAGCCTCATTTTCTCCTTAACAACACACCGATTCGACAATAAGAAGTTTTATCAGGCAACAAATCGCAACGTGAGCAACACGTACAAGCAACAGAAAAGCGAAAGACAATGCAACAAATAATAGACAATTAGCGACAATGAGATCAATGCGGACGGGGAGAGTGAATGGGGGATGGGTGGGTGGCCGGGGAAAATGACGAAGGCGCCCCTTGTTTTTACGTGTGCCGCTTGAACCAGGCGATCAGCTCGTCGAGGTTGCAGAAGAGGCGCTTCCGGAAGCTAGAAAAAAATATATATTAAGTTTTAATGGGTCTTTTGCATTATCGGTGGAGCCCTGAACCCCCCTTCCCCTAATATAATAGCCAGCATTCCGATGTTTGTTAGCAAAACTTGGCCAAAATTTCACGAGGAAAGCTGTCTGTCTAGAAAATTGCAGCAGGTATAAAAATTCAATTCTAAACGAAAAGCTAGATTTCGTAATGTTTTCAATAAAATTTGTAAAGTTCGGAATGTAGAATAGGAATCGGGGCCAAAACACGTGTTCCATTTATTCAAAAATTGGGACAAAACGAATGCAAAAATTAAAAAATGATACCATAGCTTGTTGGCGGCGATGGTGATCGACTCGAGGTGCGCCTTATCCCTGTACCAGCCCAGCATGAATTTGCCCGGGTAGGTGGCCGAGACAGCGAAGCGGTATCTAAAAAAATATGATTTCAATAAAATTGAAAATCCTTACTGCGTCACTTGCGGGTCGGAGCAGTAGGCATGGTAGAGCAGGTCCTCGAACTCGGCAAATTCGGAGCCTTCCTAGAAAATTCGAAATTTTCAAGAATACAAAAAAAATCGCTTACAATGGTAACGTTGCTGTAGTACTTGTGGTTGACGATTTGGCGGGCCAACATGGCGCGGGGCTCCATGTAGAGCACGCGGACCTCTTCGAGATCATCGAAGATCTCCTTCCTGGAAAGGGAATTGAGAAGTGTTTTACACTAGTTGAAAAAACATTTTAGCGATAGTTCAAGTGGAAAATCAACCTGAGAAACTTAGAGAGCGATTTTAAAATCCGCTTTTGTCGAAAAATCGCCAGAATTAGTCAAAAATCACCATATTTAGACCTATAATAAAATTTGTGCATCTTTCGGGCCAGAGAAATAGTAAGTAAAGATGCACAAAAATTCCTGCGATTTCTGTCTAATAAATTTCTAATGTCCGTGCGCCCGTCCGACCGACCGCCCGACCGGGAATTCAGCCAAATTTTGCATTCAAATTCCAAATTCAAATTTATCTGGGGGGGGAGGGGAGGGCCAGCGCTGAAACCCCGCGTAGCGGGGGGTCAGCGCTGGTTTCTGTCTAATTATCGATTTTCTTAAAATTAGCACTTGCGTTTTTTTAGTTTTTCTAAACCCAAACCAGAAATTTGAGTCCAATAAGTGAAAAAGTATTTTTATTTATTAGGAAACTCGTATTCTAACGAAAAAGGAAAGAACGCAAAGAGAAGCCGCCGCAGTAAAAACGCGTACCCAATTCTCAACTTGCGGCCGAGGGCGATTGGCTGGCGGCCCTCTTTGCCCGATTCGTGAATTTCCCGCTTCGCGTATACGTCTTCGGCCACCTTCCATAGCAGGTAAAGCATGTTCGGGCTTTCGCTCGGGCAGAAGATGCCCTCACCCTGAAAAAAATAATTCCCCAACAAAAGCTAAGTAGAACGCACCACCAGCATCGTGGACAACGTCTTCTTGGCCGTCGGCAGGATGACGTTGTGGTACATGGGATGGTCGATCGCGCGGCGGATGAGGCGCTGAAGAGAATAAAGTTAGTAAAATCTGAACCAGGTCTCGTACCTTATTCAATGCTTTTTCTTCTTGCGGTTCCGACATCACCGACTGCCCCGTGGCCCTGTCGGCCTCCGCGCGCTCCTGGTCGAAGAACTGATCAAGCAACGGCTCCTTTTGCAAATCATCTTTCCTAAAAAACACATTTTTTCAACTATTCCTGGGCATAAAAATTTGATTTTTTCGATCCAAAATGACAAAATTTTGGACTTTTTCAAAAAACGTCTAGTTTTTCTACTTTAAGTAAAAAGCAAAATGAAAGCAATACAAACAATGTAAAAACCATCTATGGTCCGTTCCCAAGTCAACCAAGTTTTAAAGTTCGGAAAGTTGTAAAATCTAGTAGTTTATTTACCCCACATTTTTTTGTTAGGCATGCATCTAGAGAAAAAGTATTCTTTGGTACGACGATAATGATTCCGCATCCGGTATTTGAAAAAGGACCAACTTGCAGCTAAGCATGACGCTGAAGCGATCCGGCTCGACTTCCGTTATGCGTCCGTAGACGGCTTGGTTGATGGCAGCGCGCTCGCGTGGATGTCGGAGGTTGGTGGTGTCCGAGCACAGCGCTGGGATGGGGATGAAGCCGGTGATGCCGTTGTCGAGCACGACCTAAAAGCGTGATAAATAGGTAGCGGCATTATCCTGCAAGCAGATCAAATTTCGAGATTGATTTGCGCCTAGCCTGTTATAACCCTCATAGAGCTGTTAAAAATCGTTATAAAGCGGACATCGTTACCTTGACGCCGCTCGGCTTTCCGGGACAAGTGCTCACGATGTGTTCGCAGACGTCGAGCCGGTCGGCGGCGCTGAAGTCGCAGCACCACGGGCACGACCAGCCGTTTCCGTCACGGCTTAGCTAAAAGAAGAAAGTTTCAAATAAAATTCCGAAAAAATACCTCAGCTTGGCGAGACTCCGGATCGTCGACCTTGCGGTAGGCGTAGCCGCAAACCTTGGCAGTGACGAGCTTGCCGATGTAGAGAGTCTGCGGGGTGACAGCGGTCAGCATGCTGAAGAGCTCCTAAAAATAAAAAAAAATGGAATAAAACTGATATCAACAGACTTTGTCGGAATATTCCATCATCGGCTCGCGTGTGTCCTTGAACCGATCGCGGAGCTCGTTGCGCAGATCGTGCAACGTCACTACCTAAAGAAAGAATAGTTTTTCCATTCTTGTGCATCTTCGTAGGAGTCCGTAAGTCTCAGATATTCCTAGAAATGTGATAGCAAGTGTTTTAATAGTGGTTTTGCCAATTCGCTGTATCTCAAGTCGAAAAAATATAGAAAAATTCGAAAGGCCAAAAAAAATAGAAATTTCCGCCGACAAATGTCGATTTTTTTTATTATTTTTTTTGTAGTTACGCCTTCGTACGTGAGTTAATGAAAAAGTGTGGAAACGGCACTTAGATTCGGATAATTAAATCCGAAGAAAAACATTACTCTCCCTATATAGCGCTAGAACCAGGTTTTGTTTTAAAAAGCCAAAATTTTACCTTATTCGCATGCCGGTCCGGAATTGCGTCATGGAAAGCTTCGGGGTCGAATTCCTCCAAAAGATGGGGCCGCTTAAACTCGAAAATCAAAAATCAAATCAAAACCCCTACCTTTCTTAGCACTTCAAAAGCCGCCGTCAAATCGGCGACTTCGACGTCGAGGGTATCGTTAATCACCTTGCGCCCCCATTCGTACGCCTCGGGGTGGATGCGGGTCGCGTCAAACTCATCGCAGGCCAGCTCGAGCCGTTGTAGCTGAAGTAATCAGTCAATTGCCACAAAAAGAGGCCATACCTGCTCTTGGTCAAACTTGAAGAATCCGGCACAGTTCATGAACACCTTCGGGCCGATCTGGCAGGAAAGCACGAGGTCGGCACGTGACTAAAAAAGGATAACATTTTTGCGGACATCGCTTTACTCTCAGGATGTCGCAACTTGATGCGGTCGAAACCTTCCGGGAAATGCCTCGAATACGATGCCCAAAATTTCTCAATCTGATTTTCGACATAAGGAAAATCGATTCCAAGCAACAGTTTCGAATTCTTAATTTTCTATTCATAATAATTTTCAATACCTATTTTTCCAAAGCCCTATTGAAATCGACAAAAACACACCTGGACCAACCCGTCAATCTGTCGGCTTCGCAACAACCGCCGAGCCTTACGCGGGCCGAGACCGGCAACGTATTGGGGCGCGTTCTGGAGGTAGGCGTGCGTGATGCACCGGTTCAAGTCGAGACCGATGTCGCAGATGCGGTAGATGAACTCGGTGTCGATGGCCAGCCGAAGGCGCTCTTGGTCTAGCTAAAAGAGAAAAAAATCTACAAGAATAACCTACAAAATACCTCTTTTTGTAGCGGGTGAAGTGGGACGCAGAGGATGTCACCATCCTCATTGCACAACTGTGTCAGCGCGAGCGCCGGGTCGATCGCGTAGCGGCCGAGGAAGACGCCCTGGCGGAGCAGCACCGGGTAGTCGGGGAATTCTTCCTGCAGAGAGACAAATTGATAGAAAATCAAGCAAAGAACCTTGGCTCCTGCAGACATCGCAAAGACCTTGGCGTAGTTGTTCGGCAAAATGTAGATTTTTGGGAGCAGCGGGTTTTGACAGAAGGCTTCCTAAAAATATAAATTAACTACATTTAAAAAAACCACTCACGATAATGTCCTTCTGGAGCCGTGTAGCGGCCACACTCTCGCCTGCGATAACGAGCAGCGCGGGGCGGTGCTTCAGTAGAAACGTGTCGAGCTTCTTCAACGCGGCCGCCTAAAATATCAAAATCATCAATCGTAAATGCCCAAAAAACCTTTGTTGTTGCGTCATAATCTCTCCGCGGGTTAGCCGAACGTAGAAACGAGCCGCCGACCGGTGCCCCTCGCTTCATCAGGTGGTCGAGCCGGATGTGGTCCAGAACCAGGCCTTCCTGAAAAAAGGATTTTGGTGATGAATTCTCAGAATTACCATGTCAACAGCCACTCCAAACGGTACTTCTTTCCAATCCGGGGAGTACGTCAGTACTACGATCTGAATAAGGGGTTTTTTATTATAGTTGATTCTATGAATGTGGCTTTTCGTGTCCGGAGAATTCATAAGTGTTTTAAGGTGCAAATCATATTTTGAGCATTTCCGGAAAGCTTAAGATAAAGAAAAGCGTCTGCGCCGAGCCGAGACCACTTCCACCACTTCCAGAAGCAGAAAAGTAAAGTTTCCGCAGTTAAGAAAACCCACCCGATCCTGTTGCACATCGTCCGAATCTCCGAGCACACCGTCGGGCTTGAATGGGCCGATTGAGAGCTCTTCGAACATCTGCAGCCCGATTGCCTAAAATATCTATTACAAAAATTACAAAAAATGGCACCTCGAGAACGGATTTGGTGGCTTTCTCCTTCAAATCGTCGTACGTCTCCTTTTCGAGCTTCGGCAGCAGCGAGCGGACCATCGCCTGGACGACCTGGTCCCGCAAGGCGTTCCACTCGAAGGCCGCGTTGCCATAGCCTTCCTAAAAAAACCTTTTTTTACAGCTCAACGCTGAAAAACTGACACTTCGGAAGACGCCGTTGTCGATGATGGCGGCAGCCAGGTCATGGTCGTCGAGCGTGATCTTCAGCTCGATGAGCTTGTCGCGGTGGGCCTGCAAATGCGAAAAAATAAAATTATTAAGGCGATATCTTTTTACAAAAGCATATTAGCGAAGTAGTTTTTTAGCAGATTGTCGAGAATCAGAACTGCGAAAAAAATTTCTTCCGCAAGTCTATTTTCTTTCCGATTCCGAAAAGCGGTATATGGACGAAACAAAGTTTTCAAAACCAACCAATGCAAGATACAGGAACTGATCATCCGTGAACTCCTTGACCGGCTTGTTCAGGTAGCGATACCGGAAAATCGGGTGATCCTCGTCGATGATGACGCAGCCCTGTTTCGTTGGCCAGCAGACGACGTTGGCGTGTTCGCGGTACCGGGAGCGCAACGTGGAGACGACCTAAATCAAGGGGTAGATTCCAGCTACAAATGGCAGAAAATTACTCAGCATAATTAATTTATTTGTTATTTAAAAAAACCGTTTATGGCAAAAACGAACCCGTGGCTCTTGTGCAAATTCCATGGCGAGCACATATACCGCATCTTTCAGTGCGTCTACAGCGGGTCGGTCTTGAATCAGCTGATAGGCGACCTCGTGCGGGTCAGCCTGAAAGCTCCATTTTATGAAAAGAAGTTGAAGCAGTACATTTTCTGGGTGGACATCCTCCTGCGCCGAATCGAAGATCAAGTTGGTGGCAAATTGTTCTGCGGAGAGCCCGAAGCGTTGGGCCAGCTTGCCCAGCCCATCTGCGACGAGTTTCTAGAAAAAAAGAAACTCCAAAAAATTAAATAAATACCCGATAGCGGCTTTGGCGGACGACCTTCTTGAACTTATGCACGGCCAGCTCGGGTTCGGCTTCTTCGCGGTCCTCTTCGGTGAGCCGCTTCTCGGACATGTTGTAGAGATCCTCATCTAAAGATTGGATGAATAGAAATGCGCCTAAAAGATACCATAGTGAAAATGAAGCCAGTTGGCAAAGTCGTCCAGTTCTTCGACGGAGCCAAGTCGTTCGATGCTAAACGGCAAAGTAAAAAGCCCAGTTTTCAAGCGTTACTTCCACACATCTTCATGTTTTAGGGTGCGGCGGGAGATGAGCTTGTGATCGTCTTGATAGTTCTTCAAGCGTTCGACCAGGGCTTTCAGCTAAAAGAAAATTTAGGGAAAAATTTGAAGGTTTACCTTGTCCCTCCTCTCGCTGAGCGCCATCCAGGCGAGGTCGGCCTCCAGAATGCGCCAAACGTGTTCATTCGCCAGGACGCCGAGTGACTCCTTGCGGTAGGTGTAGATGAAGGGCGGCTAAATTGATCATAAAAAAGTAGGTTCTTTGGCGTTATCGGGGGGTTCGTGATACCAACCCTTTCCGAGATATCTTTTTTATAATCTAGACAGTACTAGGATTAGAGGAAATCTTACGAAATTTTGTCAAAAAATGACAATTCGACAAAAATTCTATTCTACGTCAATAGACATCATTAGATTTACAGGATAGCATTCGTCCCCTGCGATAACGGGAAAGCATCAAGAACCAAAATCACCTCGAAAAAATTGACGCGGATGTCGTAGAGCACGTTGATGATACCATCAAGCAGCGTCAGCACACGACCATTCTCGTCGACTTGGATGCGGTTGAGGCGGTTTTCGTACGGGGTGAAGCCGATGCCCTCGTTGAAGTACTTCTCCCAGATCCAGTTCGCCTCTGCGGACAGTTCGGCGTCGTCGGCCTCTTTCACCGGAATGCGGCGTATTTGGTATCTAAACCAAAAGCTAAATGTTTCTTGGATCAAACCCAACCTTTCAGGAACGTCCTGCATAATGATCCGCTTATCCTCCAACGCCTGCCGGTCTTCACTCGCCATTGTTTCCGGTTCCTAAACAAGAGATTCGCTTTAAAACCAAATAAAACCTTAGCAACTGGTGATTGGTGCTCATCTTCCTCCTCGCCATCGCTGATCAACTCGCCGTCCTCGAACAAGCTCATCCCGTTGAGATCGTCGACGCCGAAGACAGCGCGACATTCGTCAAGGGCTCTAAACCAGAAATGAAAGATTGTTGGTAATTTTTACATCGTATCCAGTCCGTTGGTCGCTCTGGAGCGCCGGCGGCGAACACGCTGACGGTCTTCGATAAAGTCGTCTTCACTTGATTCCTCGGAGCAGCCGTCGATGAGCGTGTTTGAGCCGAACCGGTTGCGCTCGTTGGAGCGGCGTGCGTCTTCTTCATCGACATCTCCGCCCTAAAACGTGAGATGTTCGTGTTTACGAGAGGGGAATCACTTTTAATTTAATTGATACATGGCTTTTAACAAAAGATAAGATGTTTTAAACACAAAAATTCTTTAAAAACCGCTGCGGTGAGTTTTTCGACTGTACCAAGCCCTCGTAAAACCTGTTTAGGGATTACGGAAGCATTTCACATAATTCTATAAATATTACATTGCCAAACAGGTCGCGCTTGATCCGGTCACGATCGTCCTCATCCTCCGAGTCCTCCTCTTGCACGACACGCGAGCGCTTCTTCAGCTTGGCGCCGTAGTTCTCGTCGAGCAGCGCCAAGTCTTCGTCGTCCAGCTCATCGTCCGTCGAGCTTTCGCGCCTTCGATCTTCATCCCGTTCCTCGAGCTCGATCTCGTCGTCGCTGGCGATGAAGTCGCCCATTTCCTCGCGCAGGCGGTCCTCGTCCACTTCTTCGTCCTCGCTGCCACTAAAAAAGGGGCAATATATTGCATAGGCAATTTATTTTATGGCTTTTCTGCATCTGCGAAGAGTAGGTGTGTGCAATAAACTCATTTTAACCTTTTAAAACAACGAAACTACACAGGAGAAGCTGAAAAAGCCGGTATTGGGGTAAAAACCGCGCCACTGACGATTTCCAAGAGGAACATCCAACCCTCAAAACAATGTATTTTCATGGCAAAGGGAAAAAGTAGAGTTATAAAGCGACTTTTTATAGCGCTTTGACCTTTGGCGCTTTTTCGACTACCCCGCGGTCTCGAGGCGTAACTTTTGAAACTTTGGAAAGAAATTTACCTCGAGTCTATGCGCTCGCGGCTCTTCATGATCTTCATTTTCTTGACGGGCCGCTCGGCATCCATCTCCATCGAGCTGTCGCTCCGGTCGGATTCCTCCGCCGAATCCTCCAACAAGCCGTGGGGCATTTGTTGTAGGTTCTAAATTAGAGATTACCTTCTCGTTGTCAGAAAATGAAAAACTCAGCGGAAAAAAGCGTTGGAAGGCCGCTACAACTAAACAAATGATAAATCTGTGATCGCGTAAATAAATTATCGACCGAACACAAAATTTTCCGATCCCAGGTATTTACGCCCAAAAATCCAGGAGCTCCCCCGATTTTCGGAGTCCTGTGACGAATTATCCGTCAAGTGGAATGTTTCGGAATCCGTCATTTGGAATGTTCTGAAATACCCCCTTTTTATCAAAATTGTCGTTTTTCCTGCAAAACAGTCAGAATTCGTGAATTTCGACTATTTTGTTGCCAAATCGACGGTTTTTCGACATTTGAGTGTTTGAAGTTGGTAGATCGGCCTAGAAATGGCCAAGAGCGATCTTGCCCAAATACCGCCCTTTCTGGCGTCTCATGCGTAGTGTCTTAGTTTTGGAAGCTAAAAGTAAGCTAAGTTTATTAGACACAAAAACACGTCGCAGATGTAATAATGAAAATAAAGACAGGTTTTCGCGTGTTTGAGATGGCTTATTTGATCCGCTCCACTTCTCCTCCTCGTTTCTTCACCAATATCGATTGTAGGCATATTTTCTGCAGCTTTCTGATCTTTCCGCTAGCTCCTAGCACAGTGCATCAATTCTCCACCACTTTCGTATATTCGCCGCCACCTTGCTGGCTTTTCGAAACTCGTGGGTGCTGGGGGGCGGGCTAGCCCGCCCCGACGAGCCTAGGCGAGGCCAGAATGAGGGAGAGGGCCTGTTTTTCAGTCATTGAACGAACGAACGATTAGGCTATCAACGAAAAACAGTTTAGAAGAGAAATAGAAGAGTTTCAAAACTTGTATTATAAAATTTCCTGCTTTTCTGGTAATTCTTGGATGAAAAATCATCTTTTCCGCTTTGTAAGACCGTTTTCCGCGTTTTTTTTATTGAACAGTGGTTTAGCGATTTATTTAAAGTCTCCGGCAAGTTCGAATGAAATTCATGAAGAGTTAGTTATCACATTTCGAGCGTCCACCAACTCGATTCCCCTTATTTTGCCACAACTCGTAGCTGCCCATCTCGAAGGGATCGCCGTTCACGTAGCTGTACGGGATTTGGCGGTGGATGATGGCCCGGCAGTTCTAAAAAGACGTCTTATACTACTTTGGGCTCATTTTCGTGGCACTCACCCGGCGTTTCCATTCTGGCGAATCATTTGCCACACAATTGTGCAGGACTTGTAGGTAGTTTTCCGGGAAATCCTAGGGAGTAGAAATTATTTACTAGTATGCTATCGTATTAAGTAAAAGTATATTATTAAAAGTAGAGTAGTAGACTTATTTTCAAAGTGAAGTTACGAGAATTTCGAAGTAAAGAAATTACCCCAATCTCGACGTCCCCTCCCGAAATGCTGTATTTTCCATCTTCTCCCGTAAAATCGGTGCCCAAGTGGTCGTCCTCCTTGAAGAGGTCGTGCTCCATTAGCTTGACCTCGACGCCGGCGATCGGCGTGCCGTTGCATTTCAGCTGGCCCTAGAGGTTCGGCTTTTTTGTTTTTAGAAATTACTCCACCATAACTGTCAGTTTATAGCGATGGATTATCGCCGAGGAAAACGGGATGGCCAGTAGTAAGAATAGGGCGATGAATTTCATCGAACAAAGCATTTTGCGAATCGCAAGAACTTCCAGAAATCGACGGTCGTCTACGGTTCTGCATAGAGTTGAATAAAATTGAGTTTAATGCGTTTTGGATTGGGTTTTGGACAGTCTGCTGAATGGGTTTCGGTTTTCTGAGGATCTTGAAAGCTAGATAATACGAAATCGGTCGCTTCGTCGGGGAAAATGTTTTTTTTTCGAAGTGCAGATTCGAAAAGAGAAAAAAAATCCAATTTTTTTGATGTATCATTTTTTGATTTTTATCCATTCTTAGGTTCTTATAAAAGATGTAAAAACCTTTCTAAGGCGATGTAAGCAAAGTCATGAAATTCCGCTATAGTCTGTGTTTTATTATAATTTATGGCTTTTTAGTTGTAGTGGGCTGGTCGCTAGACGTTGTGTTGGTTTGGCCACTAAATCCACCCTTCGTCGGCACGCACCAGACGACTCCTTTTGTATACTGAAAAGAAAAATATCGTTGTTTAAAGTAAATTAAAGGCTTTTTCAAGCGGTCTCATATGATAACTGACTTTACTAGGCCAAAGCTCCTCCAGCCCAAAATTGTATGGAACGGCGCCGGGGGCTACGGCTTCGTGGGGCAGTTCGTATTTGAACCAGATGCAACGCTGAAAAGTTAGACGTTTCGAGGTGTAGTTTGTAAAATGTTTAAAACGCTTTAAAAAGCTTAGTTTTCTGATATTTGGGCACTTACCCGATCCCCATAGCAATCATGAATGATGTCGATGCTGACGGTTTGCTAAAAAATTATCATACAGGTGGCTCCGCGAAAAAATCACTGCCCCCCCCCTCTAAGTCGACGTATAAGTATCGGATCGGAATGAAAGTTTTTCTGGTTTCAAAACCAGGTTGTTATTTCAATGAGCTATTTTACAAGCCATCTGCACAATTTTTTAGTAAAATAAAACTATATTTAACTAGAAAAACCATCTAAAAACATGAAAATTTTTTCAAAAAGTCGAGATTTTGTTCAGAAAATCATTTTTTTTTTGTTAAAATGGTAAAAATTTGGTAAAATGTGTCATTTTGGTGAAAAATCAATAATTTTTGGTATTTTTTAATCAAATCTTGCAATTTTTGACGTTTAGGGATGGTAAAAACCAGTTCAGACATACTTCCGCTATTTATATTGAAAAAAATTGGTTTCTAAGAAAAAAATCTGCCTCCCCCCGTTAAGGCGAAAGAACCGATCTACGTATTCCCAACGCTTCGCGCGGCGCGTATTGCGCGCGGAAAAAATGTCGAAGGTTCTCAAGCCGTTCAGTCTATCACCCATACCATGCCAGCTGTGGGAAAAGCTGTCAATGTGAAGTTTCCATTCGCGTCAGTGTGATCGACTCCGATGGGTTGATCGGGGAGGAAGAACCGGTGCTGCATCAACTTCACCTCAAGACCCGCCCTCGGCGCCCCCTCGCATTTTATTTGACCCTAAAATTTTAGGCATTTTTAGGCCATAAGCGGTTATACCATAACTCTCACACAGCCATCACATTTTGGGAGAACCTGGGAAAATGCTGATGAGAGTAGGGCTAAGAAAATGGCTTTCGAAAGTAGAAGGGCCATAATATGAGGGAAACTTAAACTTAGATCTTCAGTGAAATTCCGAAACCGAAGTTCAGCCAAACTTATGCGGAATAACTACATAAAATTGAATTTAATGTGGGTGAGGGATTTTTTTTACATTGTTTCGTTTTGGGGGGAAAGCTACGGGCGCTTTTGTATAATAACAAAAGCGTTCCTGCACCAAATTGCATCCGAATCGATTGCATCGATATTCAACGATTTCTAAAAAAGAGTAAAGTCAGCGCCGTCCTGTTAGTTTTAGCAAGCAATTAACATGCTGGGTTTTACATGAAATCCGCAGTTTTCATGGATTTTGGTCCGCAATTTAGTGAATTAAAATGGCTATCTCTAAAAACAAAAAGGGCTTGTTTTTTCGCCTTTTCGAGAGCTTTTGATAGATACCTAAATCGTCAAAATCGAACATGACTGCGGCCCGCTAGGGGGGGTCGATCTTTTTTTGGACACCCTGCATACAAAAAATTATAACAATTTATTTAGAGTCTCTAATTCTTGATATTTTCGTTGTCAGGTCGTTAGTCTGCTTACACTTTTCCCTGAAATACCATTCAACAGTATCTCGGTTTTTTGGTGGCGACAAACCTTATTTTCCCACAGCTCGTAGATGCCGAGGTTGTAGGGGCGGGCTGTGATTTGGTGCAAAATAATTGGTCGGCAGTTCTAAGAATATTTTCGGACGGTTTGGAAATGGCAGTTACGTATTCTACGCATGGTTTCACGGCGGTGCACGAGTGGCGGATGCGTAGGTAGTTGTGGGGAGGATCCTGTCAACAAAAATAGTTACAGGAAAGCGGAAACTACCCAGGTTTCGATGTCGGTGGCCTCGATCTTGAATCCTCCATCTTCTCCCGTGTAAGAGATGCCCAAGACGTCGTCCGCTTTGACAAAGTCGCGCTCCATCAGGTCCACCTGGACGCCGGCGATCGGCGTACCGTTGCAATAGAGCTTGCCCTAGACGGCGTGCAATTGGTATCATTGATAATTTTTCAAGCTTAGTTCTTGGCTGGTATTAGTGTCGGACAGCACCCCAAGAAACGCACCCCGGGTGCCTTTGAAACGCACCCCAGGGGGTCTTTGAAACGCACCCGGGGTGCCTTTCAAACGCACCCCGGGGTCTGTTTGAAACGCACCCCGGGGTGCGTTTCAAAGGCACCCCACTCCCCCCGGGGGTGCATTAATAGTGTCCCCGGGTGCCTTTGAACGCACCCCGGGGTGTCTTTCGGGGTGCGTTTGGGGGTGTGTTTTGGGGTGTGTTTTGGGGTGCGTTTCGGCCCCACAGGCGGCAAAGAATAGCAAGGAAAGCCGATAAATAAAAGTATATTTGGCTTAGGAATATTACAGATATCTTTGAATATGTTTTCTATACAGAATTGATGCCATCCCGCTTTCAGTAAGATATATTTGATAGGCTATGTTGGAGTTTTAAACGATTTATGGTACGATTTTCATATTTTCTCGGGGCTAAAAATGTTTTTGTTCACACTTTTGGCAAAAAGTATGGAAATTATTTACGGGATTTGCAAAAATGGAACAGATAACAATTAATAGGATGTGACTGGAGTATGACATAAGGCAAGAATAGCATATTGAGGGGTTTATAAGGGTTTCTGCAATATTTCTATGCCAAACAAACTTTTATTATCGGCTTTCCTTGCTATTCTTTGCGACCTGTGGGGGCGAAACGCACCCCAAAACACACCCTCAAACGCACCCCGAAAGACACCCCGGGGTGCGTTCAAAGGCACCCGGGGACACTATTAATGCACCCCCGACGGAGAGGGGTGTCTTTCAAACGCACCCCGGGGTGCGTTTCAAACAGACCCCGGGGTGCGTTTGAAAGGCACCCCGGGTGCGTTTCAAAGACCCCCTGGGGTGCGTTTCAAAGGCACCCGGGGTGCGTTTCTTGGGGTGCTGTCCGACACTAGCTGGTATAATAAGACTTTTCGTCAACCTAATAAAAGCATCCGACGTTTTTAAAGGTACATTCCGCGCTCGTTAAAAAATCCAACTCGGCGGCAAGAATTCGCCTGTCCGACGGCCGCGCCTCCGACCCTTCATAGCTCCTCGCCACCCCCCCTCGCGTCTCTCCCATGGCCGAGTGGTCTAAAGCGCTTGCCCCAGGCGAGCGTCCCGGGTTCGGTTTTGCCCGACTTTTAGCACCCACCGTACCCCGGAATTCTAAAACACAATTTGTCTAAGAAGTTAGTCCATTCAAAGAGAGCGGACTGTACCTTTAAACATATTTTTTTCTGTAACTTCAGAAATGCTCAGTAGCGTTACAGGCAGGATATTAATAGGGTTTTGGGAAAATTTAACTATATTTTAAGTGAAAAAACTATCTTAAAAGTTTCAAGTTTTTAAAAAATTCGAAATTTGGTCCGAAAATCACCCATTTTATTCGTCGAAAGGCGGATTTTTGTATTTTTTTATATTAAAAAGGTGTAAAGTTTTACCGTTGATTAGTAACAAGTTTTTTTAGCAAGTTAGCAGTTTTTTTTACCTGAACGTCTATTCGGTAGGGGAAGAACAACGCCGAGACGAACGGAACGGTCAACAGTGGCAGTAGGGTGATGGCATTGACGGGGGACAACATCGTGAACTGGCTGCCAGTGACGGCGCCGGCCTATTTTATGCCTAGACGTGCATAAAATTGAGTTTAAATTGTTGGGCAGTTGTGTCGGATGGTCTCTGACTTTCGGATGCCTCGACAGTGATCAAGATGCGCATCCAAACGTCCAAATGCCGACTACCTAGTCGACCGGCCTTGCTACCAGAATGTCGAAAAATAATGTTTCGAGAGGCCAATTTGTCGAAATTTCGCTTGGTCGAAAATCAGAATGTCGAAATTGCACGGTGTCGAATAGCCATCGTTAGCCATAGCAGTTTAGCGACGAGCTACAGTTTACTTTACCCCCCTCCCCAGCCCAAGGTCCCAAGCTTTTCAAGATTTTCGCCATTTTTTGGGATTTTCTCGACGACACTCGATAGAACATCAAAAAAAAAGATACTCCGATTTTTTATGGCTGCTCAAAAATTTGTAAGTTAAATTAATTACAGCAAAAAAACAAAAACTGCCTCGAAAGTTGGAATCAAAAAGCTAGTTTTATTTATTTTCGCTATTTTTTGTTGACATTTTCGATACGTCCTTCGATAGAGCTTCGAAAACTATGCTAAGCGTTTCAATTTCAACCAAAAATAATGTGTTATAAAATAGCTACAGCGACAACCGGATTTAAACGCGGATAGTCAAGGCCACCAATCCGGATGGTTTTAAATTTAACAATTTCTATAACATGGTTGCTTTTGTAGCCGTGCCGTCAACCTCACGACTCGTCGCACAGGATCCCGCCCTCGACCTTGTTGCCCTGAAACAAAAGATTCAGGTAGGAAATAAAAAATGACAAATTTGTGAATATGCTGGAAAATCGTTTATATATCGTTACAAAAAATCCCAAAAAAAAAAGTTACAGGGTGCCCCAAAAAAAAATCGACCCCCCTCTAGCGGGCCGCAGTCATGTCCGATTTTGACGATTTAGTTATCTATCGAAAGCACTCGAAAAGGCGAGAAAACAAGCACTTTTCGTTTTTCAATATGGGAATTTTAATTCATTAAATTTAGGGCCAAAATCGATGAAAACTGCAGATTTTATGCAAAATCGGCATGTTAATTGTTTGCTAAAGCAAACAGGACGATGCTGGTTTTACGCTTTTTATAGAAATCATTGAATATCGAGCGAAGGCTAAAATTTTTTGGAAAACCAAAGGCGTTTGTTTTCTCACCGTTTGAAGGGCTTTCGAATGGTGTGAAAATCATTCCGATCCGAGCTTTCTGCGGTCCGCTAGAGGGGGTCGATTTTTTTTGGGACACCCTGTAGGTATCGTTCGGCCCGCCCACGAACGTCCCCCCGCTAACAGCCCAGTACCGTAGTCCTTACCGGGTTCCTCCACAACTCCATGGTGCCAAGGTCGTAATGGCCGTTGGTGTAGGCAGCGGGCACTGGATGCCTGATCGTCGCGGTACAGATCTAAAGAGTAGTTGAAGTGACCGGCCTGAGGCAGCGTTCTTCGACCTAACGAAATTGGAATAAGTACGTAGCAGTACCTAATGACATAAACACTTACCCGAGGTCCCGGAGGCTTGGTCGTGCAACGATGAACGATTTTGATGTAGTTGTCTGGTGGGCCCTGTAAGGTATGAAGGTACCGTCCCTGAGGTATTGGGCTGACGCAACGCGACCGCTACGCATGCTTCATGGAAGGCCTTGTCTTTGTCTGTGCGTTTTATAGGGACCGAGGGTCAGACATTCTGGGGCTATCTTTTCGTTTTTCTCCTACCGGAATTTCGTAATCATTTGTAGAGATCGCAAATTTCCCATCCAGCTCGGTTACGTCGGTGCCCAGGTCGTCGTCCGCGTATCGATCGTCCTCAAACAGCTTTACCTGGACCCCGGCCATCGCCGTGCCGTTGCAGTTCAGTTGGCCCTAAGAATTTAGCACATTTTAGCACCTATTAAAATACGAGAAAGATCAGCATTACGGAGGACGGCTATAATGTCAGAGAAGCGTAAAGTAGCGTAGCGCCTACCGAAACCGCCAGATTGTAGTACGGCCAGAAGGCCGTGCAAAACGGTAGGGCCAGCAGAGCGAAGGAGATTGTCGTGGTGGTTGGGGAAAACATTCTAAAACATGGGTCTAAAAAATCAATTCGTAGTTTTTGAAAAAATGGAGAAAACTCGAGAAGTAACTTCGCTCAAGATCTGGAAATTTTAAGTTGGGTCGTGTATCAGATTGACTATGGATGAAGACGGTTCTGTTTCGTTTCTCTCTCGCTCTCTCTCTCTCTCTCTCTCTCTCTCTCTCTCTCTCTCTCTCTCTCTCTCTATCTGTCTCTCTCGCTCGCTCGCTCTCTCGCTCTCTCTCTCTCTCTCTCTCTCTCTCTCTCTCTCTCTCTCTCTCTCCTTCTCTCCTTCTCACTCTCTCTCCTTCTCTCCTTCTCACTCCTCTCTCTCTCTCTCTCTCTCTCTCTCTCTCTCTATCTCTCTCCTTCTCTCCTTCTCTCCTTCTCACTCTCTCTCTATCTCTCCTTCCCACTCTCTCTCTATCTCTATAACTCTCTAACTCTTTCTCTCTCTCTATCTCTCTCGCTCTCTCACTCTCACTCTCTTTCTCTCTCTCTCTCACTCTCTTTCTCTCTCTCTATCTCTATCACTCTCTAACTCTTTCTCTATCTCTATCTCTCTATATCTCTCTCACTCTCACTCACTTTCTCTCTCTCTCTCTCTCTCTCTCTCTCTTCTCCTTTTCGCTCTCTCCCTCTCTATTGCCGAACGATTCATTAATTCTGTTTTTTTCTACTTTTCCATTTGATAAATTTATTAAGTAACTGTTCTTGACGTTTTTGCTGTAACACAACGATTATCTGCAGTCATATTTGTTGACCTGAAATGACTGGATAGAAGATGCAACCCCCTCCCCCGATAACGCAAAAGCACCCCTTGGGGAACCTACTTTGTTGTTCCACAACTCGACGGTGCCCAGGTCGAATAACTTTCCGTTGTAGTACTGCCACGGGATTGTGTACTTGAACTCTGCCGGGCAACCCTGTGGGATACAGATCAGCAAAATACCGACAGGAGAAAATGAATATAAAGAGAATACCGACAGTCAAGTTCCGGAGCTGGAGAAACCCTAATAACCAAAATCCCGATAGCGAAAATACCGACAACCGGACGAAAGCCGTTATAGCGAAATAAAAACGTAATTTTTGGAGATTTTTGCTGTCGGGATTTGTAATGTCGATATTTTTTCGGTTGTCGAGCTTTGGCCTCTCCAGATTTTGGCTATTGCCTTTCCGGCTGTCGGTATTTTGTCGTGTCGATATTTTGCCTGTCTGGATACGCATCCCAAATACCCGTAATCGAAATTTTTTTGAAAAAAACCCCACCGTATTGCCGGGCGTTTTCGGTACGCATCCGTGTACCACCCACACGTAGAACTTTACGCTGTCGCCTGGCGTCTGAATTGTAAAGGTACAGTATACACCTTGTATACGCATACCGGAACTTCGTAGTCTTCGCCCGAGAGCGCGAATCTGCCATCGCTGCCGGTGCGGTCGGAGCCGAGAAAATCGTCCTCCACCGGGTCCTCCTCGTACACTTTCACATCCAAGCCGTTCATGGGCGCACCGTTGCATTTGAATTGGCCCTAGCATGATTAGAGTGTGAATCCAAGAGCGAAAAAAGATACAAAGCGAGAGAGAGAGAGGGAAAGAGAGAGCGAGAGATAGAAAGAGAAAGCCAGGGGTTTATGATAGAAGCTGAGAGAGACGGCCATAGAGCGAGAGAGAGAGAGAGAGAGAGAGAGAGAGAGAGAGAGAAAGCGCGATAGTGCGAGAGGGTGAGCTCAAAAAATAGAGCGGCGGAGAGAGCGAGCGATAGAGAGAAAGAAACAGCGTAAGAGAGAGCGACAGAGAGAGAGAGCGTGAGCGACAGAGAGAGAGAGAGAGAGAGAGAGAGAGAGAGAGAGAGAGAGAGAGAGAGAGAGAGAGAGGGAGAGGGAGAGGGAGCGTGAGAGATTTGTATAGCATTACCTTAATCGAGTATTGATACTTGGGCGCGATGATGGGCGGCATAACGTCCGGCAGCCAATTGGAGATGACCGACGGCAGGTTAACCATGTAGATGGCGACCATCAGACCGAAAGACGCCATTTTTGAAGGAATAGCGGACTCGAAGCCGACCCCGAAAACACTTTTCTCGTGCAAGCTTCGATACATGGATGGGAAGCCTGATCGTTGATCGCTCGCAAAGCCCGCATTTTTCTGGTCATTGGTCGAGGGACTGTATGCATAACGAATCGACGTCCGACCACTCCCCAGAATTCAAGGATGCATGGAAAGATTTGGCGGATTGATAGGTAAGAAATATAAACAGGAAAGTTTATTCGAGCGAATCCTTCATTTATCCGTGCGGCGCGAATTTAAGGTTGCGACAATCCGAGGTGGTGTAGTCCTAAAAGCCGTGATAATTCACAGAAGAAGTGAAAGATCTTTACCAGACGATCCAGCTGAAGCGTGGGCTCGAACGGCTTGCCGTCGACGTTCTCCTCTGGGATTGGGACATCTACCGTACCACCGCAAGTCTGGAATGCTAAAATCTGGGAGAGCAAGCGAGAGAGTGTGAGAAAGAGTGACAGTGAGAGAGGGAGAGCAAGAGAGGAAGAGAGAGAGAGAGTGCGAGAGAGAGCGAGAGAGAGACAGAGAGGGAGAAAGATAGAGAGAACGAGAGAGAGAGAGAGTGGGAACGAGAGAGGGTGAGCGAGAGAAAGAGTGCAAGAGAGGGAGAGAGATAGGGCGACCGTGAGAGAGCGAGAGAAGGCAAGAGAGAAAGAGAGCGACAGGGTTTTTTTAAGGCAGCTGACCGGTAGCCGGTTACGACATGAAAAGATTTCTTCTGCTAAACAGCTGATTCGTCCTGGCAAACTAGCGAAGGTTTTTGAGGAATTTTGTCAGCAAAGACGATTTTTGGGCCAGAAATGTCAAAATTCAACGTGTTTAATCGATTACAACATTAAAACCCGCTTAAGCCGTTGAATTTTGCTTATTCTAGGTTTAAATTTGATGCGTTCAAACAATCTGATACCTTGTCCTCAACGCAAGTGTGTCGAATTCGAAGGTAAGGTTCAATGCTGAGAAACTAAAAAATCTGCAATTTTTTTATCCTAGATTAGCCAATTTTTTACCTCGTCCTCCTCGCCATCGAGCTCAAACTTTCCATTCTTGTCCGTTTCCTTCTTGCCCAGCTCGTCGTCAGCATCCACTGGAATGGAAAGGAAGTTCCGCAAAGCTACAACTTACGCCCATCCTTTTCCATCAATTTGATCGAGGCGTTGGTGTATGGGCGACCCTTACAGAGAACGGTACCCTAAAATTGGAAAAACCCCAAAATGCCGTCTCCCAAGACCCCAACATCCAAAATCTCGACATGCCAAAAAAGCTCTTTAAGGGGGAATGGCGTTCAACCTAGCGTCAAAGAATTTGTCCGGATTTTGGTTGTCGGGATTATAGCCGGAATTCTCTAAGATCGGTCGAAACGGGCAAGCTAGCAGAAATTCTTTGTGAATTTTATCCAAGAAGTATCTACACAGCAGAGCTTCTTTGGCAATTTTCGATTCTGGGGCCAGCTAGCAGATATTCTTTAAAAATTCGGGCCTTCAAGCCTACAGATTTGAAAATTACATACCTTAACGCTAATTTTCTGGAGTCTACCATTGGCATAGTTGAAGTTACCACAAAGAAAAATGAAGAAAATGAGCCGAACAGACATGTCGTGAAGAGAGGACATTTTGTAAACGTTCCGGAAACCTTTAAAAATCACAATTTTGAAACTTCGAAAATGATATGCGGATCCTAGACGTCGCGGCGGCTCTTTTGAAATTCAATGAAAGATAGGGGGTGAGAGAGACAGAGAGGAGAGAGAGAGACAGAGAGGAGAGAGAGAGAGAGAGAGAGAGAGAGAGAGAGAGAGAGAGAGAGATAGAGAGAGACAGGGACAGAATGAGAGAGTTTATGTGAGACAGGGATGGAGGGAGAGCAAGAGTGAGAGATGGAGAGAAAGAGAAAGAGAAAGATGGAGAGAGAGAGACAGAGAGAGACAGAGAGAGAGAGAGAGAGAGAGAGAGAGAGAGGGGGGAGGGAGGGAGGGAGATAGAGAAAGCAGAAAAGAAAAGTTTTTGATCAGCTGATGGCAGCTGATTTTGAAGTTACGGTCCCAATTTAGACATCACTTTCGTAAATCAAAAATTTTGCTTTAAGAGAAAAAGCGCCCTCTTCATTTTTCCCTATGATTTGGAGTTCGGAATCCTTCAAAATCCTAGGGGAAATCGGCAAAACAAAATTTTGTTGCGTTTCCCTGGGGGAAACAAAATTTTCCCCTTCGTCGATAGTCATCCAAGGTACTGCCCAATCTCCATGACTGAACTATCCCGTTAAAACGAATAAGCCCAACCCAAAGAACTGAATGAAGCCAAAGTTCACCCGGTCAAAACACAAACTAAAAAAACCCGGAGGCTCTTTATTGCATGAAAATCCGAATAAGAAATACACGTACAATGCGGAACTTCACAAAAAGCGAGTAGCAATGAGGAACAAGTAAAGGACGACAACTCGGATAAAATCATTCTTCGGAAATACATAGTTTAATTGGGGAATATGGATGGAAGTTATTTAAGTGGATGTGGAATTTCGATTTGCGACGAGCCGGCGATGAGCGATGTTAAGATGCAAGTAGACGATTTGGCGCACCGACACTGCCCTGCAAAGGAAATATTTAAAATGTTGAAATTTTGGTTATTATTAATTTATTAAATGCCAATAATTAATATTACAAATCGTGAAAATATTAACATTTTTGATAAGAATCTGTAAAGTTTTTTCGTTCAAAAATGGTAAAAAAACCCTAGAAACACTACGCAATGTATTTCGAAAAAAAAGAATAACAATAACAATTGGTCCCCCGCCGATAATTCGAAACAGCCATTACTCTTTTTGTGCTGCTGGGGCTAGGGGTCAATTTCGTGTTCCAGATGGGAGCCGTCAAATTCTGGTGTGGTGCTTTTTTGGCGCATCTTGCATGTGTGAAGACTCCGTTTTAGGCACCAACCTAGACCCTGCGATCAGCCGGGGCCGGCCGACGGCGCAGCAGCAACAGCAGCAGTAGGCACTCGCGGAGCGTTGTTCCCGGGGACCGGGGGCTGCAAGAGAAGTTGTGAGCCGTTTTATTTCGTCAAATTCGTCAGAAACTGAAAAAACCGCCTTTCGGGCAGATTTTCTTCAGTTTTTGAAACGTTGGCCCATGCTAATTGATTCCGGTTCTGGTGTTTTATCGGGGGGCGGGGGGAGGGGAGTTTCATGCCCTATTTTTTCGAATATTTCACTATTTTTTCGGGACTATCTCATCGCGGCCCGAAAGAGCATCAAAGAATCTACTACAAGTTTCCATTTTAGACCAAAAATTATAATTTAGGAAAGTTGTATAAAATATGCTGAAAATGGGGCTGAAAAGCTAGTTTTCGAGATTTTCGACATTTTTTGACATTCTGTTAACGCTATCGGGGTAAATAAGAAAAAAATGTTGTAATACCCAGCTTAAAATCATAGAATTTAAGATAGGAGAGGCTACCGGCAAAAATTCTCCGCCCCCCCCCCGCTAACGAACCAGAACCTTAATTCCTAACAAAGAGCATGGTCGATATTTTTACAGTAAGCCTGACAACTTGTCACTTCTTACCGCAACTCGGTTGGCGTCATGGACGCATCTTGGAATTCCGCGCTTTCTGCCCTTTTGCTCCTTCCAGGTGACGCTCCCATCCGCGGTCCTCTGCCCGTACAGCACCGGAACCCGTCTTCCGGCGACTCTCCCGATTTTGGCTTCTTTCCAGCGCGCCACGCCGCGCGTGTTCTTGACGGCCAAGAGGATGTGGAGCCCTTCGCTAAAGATGTCCATAATTTTTTTGGTAGCTGACACTCCCACTATAATCCTTCCAGTCGGCGAGCTCCGTGGGGTCGCTGGATGTAGGTGATGCCCGGGACGAACTGGCTCTGGGCGGGCCAATTCGCGAGGATAGCTGCGGTGTGTCCGCACACACGTTGGTTGGTCATCTGGAATGACGGAGTTGCGTGTGAAACCTCGGGGTAAGTGCGCGGTTTACGGTTCTTTTGCATTATCGAAAAGGGTGGGGGGGGGGATTTTTTAGCTTGATGCAAATTAGCGCTGCGCCTGGCGGGGGGGTCCTAGACTTTATTCGTCACTCACTCTTACCGCCATTCTCACGGCATCATGGGGACAATGAGGAATCCCCCATTTGCGCCTTCGTCGCTCCTTCCACGTCAGAAGGCCGTCAGACTGGCGGCAAGCATATAAGATCGGCAGGCGACCCTTGGGGCCGAGCGGTCCGGTGTTTGCTTCTTTCCACTTCCAGGTTCCACGGGAATTTTTGGTTGCGATGAGAACATGCTGATCAGGGCTATAAAGGTCGATGATTGTCTAGATGCCTGGCACTGCCCCACCGCAAGTGATCGAGACGGTGCCTGACATTCTCCCGTTTCTCGTACTCGACTCCGGGATGGTAGATGCTCTTCACCGGCCATACATCCAGGAAAGCGGGCGTATGACCACAGGCGTATGACATCTGCAATGTAGAAGTTGGCTATGAAGCCGGTACGAGGTCAGTGAAAGCTGTGAAGCCTTGCGAAAAAATCCCAGCCTCGCACCCCTATGCAAATTGCTTACGGGAAAGAGATGAGCAGCGCCACCCGGACGATGATGGGGGCCGAGTAGCAGCGAGGAACCCTGACTGGGCGCTAGAATGAAAAATTGCCGGAGGCTCTGGGCGGTGGTGGCCTAAGATGATGAAACATGATGAACGCTCTCAGATGCCAGCTGTTGCATTCAAATTTCATATGGTATCTTGACTGCAAAATTGGGGCGTGTTCGAAGTGATGCGAAGTGAGGACCACGGTGTTATGGATTATCAGAATAAACGCCCAATTTCTCTCTCACTGTCTCTCTCCGTCTGTCTGTCTCCTAAGCATTGGTACTTTTACACCCACATTTTTGTTTGTTATGAAAATATAAGCCTAAGCCTAAGCCGAACGGAAAACATAAGCCTATGCCTAAGCCTAAGCCTAACCTCAGCTTAAAGGGATGCCGACGGCATAATCAATCGGTTAGGCGGTGGAAAGAAAATGTCTCTGCCACACTAACTGCTCTCTGGTCCTAACAAAACGTCCGGTAGCTTTGGAAAGGAGGGAAGACCGCAACGCGTGCAATAGACGCGTCACGCAATTGCGAAAGCAGGCCTGCGCAGCTAAAAATCGGTTGCTATTCCGCGCACCCGCACGCAACGCGCGAAAAACACTCCGCGGCTTTTCACTCCTGGGCCTCGTCTAGGTAAGATCACAAAAATACTTTGCATATTCTGCCCAAATCCCGCTAACAAAAATGGGAAATCTCCTCTGTAGCCTGATTTTATAGAAAATATCCACTCCCGGCGCATGTAAATTTTGCCTAACTAAGTTTCTTTCACAAAAACCTAAATTTAATGTCGAAAATAGTAAATTTTGAAAAATATAATAAGTCGGCAGTCATCTCCACTCCATCACGCATCAAATGACGTATCAAACATGTCCGAAAACTTCTTCCCTGACCCGTTATGAGCGGAACATACATCCGGAAGTGGATGCAAATCTACCCAGACACACACACTATGTTTTTTATATATATCCTTAAGGTTTGGAAAATTAGAAAACAAGGTTTGGTAGTGATCTGGAATCAGCGAAAGGTTCTGCAGAAAAAAGGCTTGGTCCTCACCCGAATTTCTATCCTGACCAAAATACTGTAAGCCTAGGCATAGGCCCTAGCTTAAGAAGCCTGCACAGCACCCACGTGGAAGCACTACACCCACGGGGAGGGACCGGAACCGATAGAAACAAGCCTGCTTGCTACTTTCCTGGTACAGTTATCTTTATTTAGCTTTATTTGTGGCTATATGTCCGGCTGGGTCCTCCTCACGGGCATCTCACCGCGGTGTATGGCTAAATTCGGAATAAAAATGGAAAACTTGACGTTACGAATTTGGCAAGCTCAATTAGCGGCAGCTTGAAAACCGGAGCGTTGATGGCTTCGGGTGGGACTTGCATGTTTATCTTAGCACCACAGGGCTGAAAAACACGTTTTAAAGGGTTACTGTCGTCGAGAAACCGATTACGAGAGGCATTTCTGATTTTCGAGTAAAAACGGTCTGGTCTCGTCGTACATGTCGTCGGGGTCGACTATAGCAAAATTTGGCATTTACGAAAGAGAACAAAATACACCCACTAATGTTGCCGAGATCCCGCTCCATCAACCTCACCGTGGCACCCCAGAAGGGCACGCCATCGCACAGGATTGTGCCCTGAAAATGGACTTTTAAGAGGAAGCCATAACTTTTAAACGCCACGCGACAGGTTTCGCGACGCGACAGACTGAACGTGGACTTTAACGGGACCGCAAAGAAAATTATGGATTTTGTTGACTATTGAATTTTAAGCGCGACACTCGACCCGAGACCCGACGCGACGCGTTTCGCAACGCGGCAGCCATCGCGCAAGTTGGAAGCCAGGCGGGAGACGCATCACGACGCGCAGCACGTAGCGCAACACACTGCCAAGCAGGCAACCCAAATCGCAACGTGACCAGCGACGCGATATGCAACGAGGCACGTAGCGCTGAGCAGAACGCGCCACGCAACGCTTTTAGTGATGTTTTCTGCGGCGGGATGCGCGATGAGACGCGCAACGCAGCACGCAACGCCTAAGCGTAGCACCATTCATAAGGTAAAACCGGACGCACAGATGGACAGGCAACGCGACGCAGAACCTAACGTGATACGTTACGCAACTACACGGACAACACGGCGCGCCACGCGACACAAAACGCGACATTTAGCGCAGCCAGACACTACTCATAACTCGGCATGCAGCTATAGGCACGACGCTACTCAAAACGCAAGCTATTACTCGACACAGAACGCGACACTTAACGTAGCAAGCTACGCCACGGTCAACGGAATTTTTTCGAATTTTTAGCTTGAGAGAAACTAGCAGGGATCGTTGAGGATTCTTACTGGATCCCTGCGAAGCGAAAATTCAAACTAAAACACTTACCTGAACGGCCACTTCCTGCCAGCCGCCAAGCGCCAAATCAAGGCTGCTGAAAAGAAATAGCGCAACAAAAAGTCGACCGCCGGCTCCGAGCATCTTCAACAAGTTCACAGATCAAACAGGACGATTTTTATCGAGGTTGAATTGATTTGAAATTCAGAATTTTGGATTTCAGAATTTCGAATTTTCGTCTTGCAGACCTTCGGGCGGCGTCTTTTTGAATCACAATTCGCCGAACCAAAAGGTGTGATCTTTGCGGCAAGGCGTCCATTGGCACAGAGGGGGGCTGAATCATTTGAGATCATGCGGCTCAAAACTTGATGAATCACGAAAATTTGGGAAGGTCAAGCTACGAAATAGCACGTATAAAATTTAGCGCAAAAAACCATAAAAAATTAAAACATTCAAAATAAAAAGATGCTAAAAAGCGAAAACATTGAGAAAAATGAAGAATAGAAAAGGCGTTCTGGTTTTCCTTCCTTGTAACGTTTTTTATACTCCTAAAAATATTCGGATTCCTCGGTTTTATATCTAACAAAAAGATGAAAAATCCGAATAAATTCAAAATTCTACTGCTAAAAGTCGCAAAATGAGAAAAATTTGAAAAGACGCTTTGGGTTTTCCCCAGCGTAGCCCTCGTCTTGCTAAAAAAATTTTGAGTTTTCAACTTTGAATGCAACGCTGTTTTGTTTTCCGGTTGCATACCGGAAGTAAAAGGAGAAGCAGCGTCACAAAAAAAACTCCGAAGTTCCGGAGCTACCACTTCTTTGAGCGTCTGATTCCTTTTTGGAGGTATTTTGGGCTACGGTTTACTTTACCCCGCCCCCCCCCAGCCGGAAGTTTTTGGCTATAACTTTTTTATTTTACATTATTCTAGGCTCAAATTAAAACTTTTAGTATATTTTTCGACGCTCTATCGAATGGCGTTGCGAAAATCCCGACAAAAGAAGCGAAAATACCGACAACTTTGAGACCCTTCGGCTGTGGGGGGGGGATAAAGTAAACTCTTACCGTATTTTGATATTTGAATCTCGTGTTTCTTTGTTTCGTTTCATATTCTACGTTAGATAATCGTTCGCAAAAAGTCATAAATTTCCAGTTCTGATGGGCGGCTCCTCGACGCCGAAGAAGACGCCGTTGCCTCGGGGACAAGCGCGCGGCACCTTCTACCAGAAAGTCTACGTGCGTCAGAATTACTCTCTCTTGCTCTCTCTCTCTCTCTCTCGCTCTCTTTCTCTCACTCTATCACCCAATTTTCAGGAAGAGTCACAATTCGCCAACCGCGACCGCACCTTCCTCGTCTACCACTGCGCCGGGTGCTCGAAGCCGCTGCGTCGCGAAGACGTCGATGTGCGTATCTCTCTCGCGCTCTCTCTCTCTCTCTCTCTCTCTCTCTCTCTTTCTCTCCCTCTGGCCCCTTTCTCTCTCTCGCTCCTCTTTCTCGCTCTCTCGCTCCCTCAATTCTCTCGTTTTTCAGCCATCTCGAGGCGCCTCTCGCATCATTCGTGCGATGGACAACTACTGGCACCGCGACTGCATCAAGTGCGCCAAATGCCACGTCAAGATCTTTGCGTTCGAGGGTATTGAGTGGAGGTAATATGAGGCAATACTTTGGTCATTACGGTAATCTGTCGGAGTTTGTAGTTTCGGATTGTAGATGTGCCTACAAAATGAGAAAGGGAGAGTGAGCGCAAGGGAGATATTGAGATAGAGAGAGAGAGAGAGCGAGAGTGAGAGAGATATAGCGAGCGCGAGAGAGGGATAGCGAGCGCGAGAGCGAGAGGTAGAGAGAGAGAGATAGAGACTCCATTTAGGACAACCCCCGACCAGCGGCCGATCTGCATCGACTGCCACCTCGACGACACGACGCCGCCGTGTGCCGGTAGAATTACGTTATCGTAGCGCTAGGGTAACTTTTAGGCTGCAAGAAGCCGGTGGGTGCGCACGCGTGGAAGGCCCTCGGCGACCATTGGCACCATGGATGTCTGACGTGCCACGGGTGCTTCAAGCCGTTCCCGGGTGGGCCTGGATTCCCTATGGGTCTCTGCTAGTCTGCCCTAGCTCCAATTTCGCTATAATTCTCTGGCAGTTTGCCTTAGACTCTGATTCTACAAAGATTTCTGCTAGCTCGCCCTCTGACGATGATTCTCTAAGAATCTCTGCTAGCTAACCAAATGTTCCATTTCCAGAAAACAAGTTCTACCTGCACGAGGACCGCCCGTACGACATTGACTGCTACCACATCAAGGTGCTCGGCAAGAAGCTCGAGAAGCAGAAGGAGCTGACGGTGGCCGGGTGGCTGCGTGACGGCAATTGATCATCCACCGGGATTAAAGCTTAATTTTTGCTAATACGTGTCTTGTGATTAATCGCGTAAATTTGTGTGCATGGGAATAAAATAGTACTCTGGATTCGGATTTTGGCTATTTTCTAGCTTAGCCCCGGTCGAGATTTCGACTTTTCTACCTCCATTATGTTGAGTTTCCGCTAAAATTTCTGTACAAAATTTAGCGTATCCTTAATTTACAGAAAAGACGAGCTTTTTGGTATATTTTACAGCCCTGTAGGACGAAGGGAAGGAGAGATAGAAGGGGTGTTTGCTCTCTACTCTGCGCTCCCCCCCACTCGTCCCCCACCTGGCCCACTCTGCCTGCGTTAGTACCTAGTGTCACACCATAGGTATCGCTTCTGGCCTCTGGCTATGATCAATTGTTTAGTAAATGTTCTTATCGGCTTAATCTCCGATACGTACACTATTGTGTACAACGAGATTAACATATTTTTGGAAATGGTTCGGTTTGCAGAAGCTTGCTTCTCGCCGGACAGCGTCGGCCCCGCATTGCACGTAGCGCGGGGATCGGCGCACATCCCGAATAGATGAACGATACCTTAAAAATCGAAAAACTAGATTTTTTATTTTTCTGGTATGCTATTGATTATGCTGGTATGGTGCAAAATACTACAAAACACAGGGAAATTGCGTGCGGGTGGTCATTAAAAGAACGCTAAAAGGTCCTGATAATCATCTACCATCCATTAATGCTTTATCGGCACCTAATCACTGTGCGTATTGTATCGTCGCTTGGCGGTGATCGTGTAGAGGACGGCGAAGGAGGCGATAGCGGTGGCGACGAGCGTACCGTGGTAGGTGTACTCGTAGAGGTGGCCGCACGTCAGCCAGCAGCCCAGACTGGAAAAAGGAATACTTAGAGCTTTTTCTCTATTCTTCGTTTTTCTATAGTTCATTTTATGCAGTTAAATAGATGCTGAAGGCCGTTTCTGAATCGAAAAAATTAAACTCAAGAAATTTTAGGTCATTTAAGATATTCTGCTAATTTTAAATTGCGTATAGTATCGCAGTTTACGTAAAAGAGCTTGCATGTATAAATTTAATAGCTTTAATAGTTTTAGTCTTGTATTTTTCATTAATGAAACCTACTTTCCGACATGTCCGCCGTGAATGTAGTGCGTGTACAGGACCTGTAAATTATTTTTAGAACGACTTTTATGGTTTTTAGGCTAGATTTCTCCATCGTTTTCAAGGTGTCACTTCATTAGTTGGTTAAAGTATGATGTCATACCTGAATCGAGTGTAGAAGCCAAACGGCCGTGCCGCCAAGTTTGTGAAGCGGGATGAATTGGTGGATGAGAGATCGGGGATGCCGGGAAGGTAAATGATGGCAGCGGAGGCGAAAAGCTGCAAATCTTGCTCTTACTCTCTCTCTCTCTCTCCCTCTCTCTCTCTCGCTCTTTCTCTCTCTCTCTCTCTCTCTCTCTCTCTCTCTTCTCTCTCGCTTTCTCTCTCTCAAAGCTGTAAAACTCACTTGTAGAGCATAAGTACCCTGGAGGTACATCATCAGCGTGCCGCTCATCCCGGCGAGGTTATTTGTCTAAATTAGAGCAACAAATATAACCGAATTCCGTGATAATTTTAAATCTAAACTATACATATTAACGTAATTTACCTGTTCCAGAGCTCGGTAGGCCATGTAGACGAACAGCAGAGCGATCAGGTGAGAATAGGCATGCCCATCTTTGCCCTTTCCCTTTCGGAAGGCGAGGATTGCTGAAAATATCGCATAAAATTGGGCTCAATAAAAGCAGCATATTTTTTTAAACTAAGCGGAAGGTTTGAGATATCTAGAAATTCCATATTATCATTTGAACCTCGGTGCTTTTGCGTTATCGGGGGTTATGCAGCTGGCCTTTGTTTTTCACAAGCTCAGGAATATTTGAGAACTTAATAAGTGTCTTAATGGTTTTTTAGACAGATCTAACTAGATTTAAAGTGACAACTATCAAAAAAAAAATGGGAAACTGAAAAATTCGAACCTTAGGTCGAAAAATTTTTTTAGAAAAATTTGTAATTTTTAAGCTTAGTAATACGCAAAAAAAACAGTTGCTCTATTTCGATTAAGAATTTCGATATTGAGGAAAAAGTCGGTTTTCCCTGAAAACCGTGGAAAATTCCGACCCTCCCCCACGATAACGCGAAAGATCCTGAGACTTACCCCTTCCGGTGAAGAAATGGCCGAGCGTGAGGTAGAGGCAATGATTGTTGATCGTCAACCCGCTCAACCCGAACGACAGCCCGCCGCCCATCTGAAGATACGAAAACAGGGCCAAGCCGACTTGGGCCAACCCAGATTTCAGCGCCAAGTCCTCCAGCATGCCGCTTTTACCTGGACAAATGGTTAGCTTATCGGCCTTGTAGGATTTACAGGGAAAATCAAGGGATTTTCGAGATTCGTAAAGCTGTACAAGAGTTTAGGACAACAAAAAGTCATTTTTACGGGTTTACCAAGCAAAAAATGCATAAAAATCTGTTTCAAAAGTTGCAAAAACACTAAATTACGCGAACCACTACGAAATGGGCCGCCTTACGGACGCATGATTGCAAAAATATCCAGAAAAATTGCAAAACCTGCAGAAAGCCTTGCAAAAATGGCTTATCAGTGAAAGGGAAAGTCGAAATCGGGAAGCGCAGCGGTGGCTTGAGATTGTTGCACCTTTTTTGGGCGATACAAAGTCGTAAAGTAAAAAATACCAATCAAAAAAAAATTAAATAAATACAAATACAAATAAATAAAATAAAAAATGTACAGAAAAGCGGCTAATTTGGTCGAAAAATCTATATATTTTTTTATTTCCATCAAAACTCGTAAGGTTTCAACTCTACTTTCACCTTCATCTTCAACTTTACAAGTATGAAACTTTTAAAGTATCAACGTTGAGAAATATTTAAAACTAGTTTCCTATTTATATCCGAAAAATCGATATAAAAGTCCCCCCCACGATAATGCGAAAGAACCGAAAACAACATAATATTAAACTTCTTAAAAGCTTTGGAAAGTTCTTAAATCCCGAAATCGAACATTCAAGGCTTGAAATTTAGCCAAAATCTCTTCTTCAAAAATGGCCATCAGATAATTCCCAGGCTTTTATAAGGCCCTGCCACGCCAGGGTGGGCACTCTCGAACCCTTCGAACAGCGCGATTTTATCTGCACGCTTTTTAGGGGGCCAGTGACACATTGATGTGACAGTCTCACCTCAGTCACCACTCCACAAATATCCTCCCTCAAAATCGGGCCTTCTTCAGCCATCTCCCGGCCACCTAGACACCTCAACAATATCGGCGCCCACCATCTACGAGCAGCAAAGCACGCAGCTGCTCAAAAACAACGTGTTGCGATGCGTCGATGGCGCGAATGATGGGGCGCTAAATAGTGTCAACATTCATGCGAATGCCGAAAAAGCTCTCTAGAAAGTTCTGACACCGTGATCTACGAAATGAACGTTTATCAAGTAAATAAGTGCAACGCTTCGAAACGAATATGTATCAAGCAAAAATGGACAACCTTAACAACTGGCAACTGCAATTCAAAAATAAATAAGTTGTTCTTCAAGTCGACGTTGGAAACCGTTGCTGTTCGGGCAACCTTGAAAGACGTGCTCGAAGGGGATGAAGCGCTGCGCCGATCCATCCGTACGCGCTTCTGGATCATGGAGACGGCGGCTCAGGCTGCTGGAAAAGGAAACATTTTTAGAAACAAGACTACATTTCATTAGCAGCTTAGCGCCATAATGCCGAATTTGCACAGCGACCAACTTTCGTTTTTGAAAAGCCCAACTGCTTGGCTCAAGCCTGAATTTTTTATGAATAGCGGGTGCGTTGCTACGTTGTTTTTAACCATTCCTAAGCATAATAACTTTACAAATTTTCCTTCAAAACTCAAATTTAGTTCGAGCAATTGATTTTTTCGACACCCAACTGATCAAATTTCGCCTTTTTCAAACACTTTTCTACCTTTTTTAGAAAGTTTTGCTACTCTAAGTATAGTTAAAACTTGCTAAAAAAACATCTAAAAACACATTATATTTGTTTACTAGGCCAAACGGGACCGCCAGGAAAAAAAATGTACATAAGCCTGAATTAACAACCAAAATTTGTGACCATCGAAAACTGTCGGCATTATGAAATTTGGCGCTATGTAAATCCGGCATCAGGTATGACCATAGCACCCTTTTCGCAAGCTAAAAAACCTACACGGCCACGTCGCTTTTCACCTTCACCCAGGCCCGCAATCGGCGATACATGATGGTCTTGCAGAGGTCGTTGATTAGGGCCGGGTAAGCGCTACCGCGCACGCGAACCTGCAAGTTGCGCTTTGCCGAATTTTTGAAAATCCGCTATACCTTCAAACGCATGTTCAGCTTGCCGTTTTGTTCGTAGTATGTATTGTAGCTGAGCGCTATGATGCCATGATGACGAACGGCGCCGCTTTTCAAGCCTAAATGCAATGAATCGAAACAGAATCATGGAATTACCGAAAGCGACGTTAAGGAACGCATCGGCTGTCCGCAAAACGCCATTTTCAAACCGTGTGGACATAAAGAATATGATATTGCCGGCGCCGTCGTGCCCTAAATTGTAGGGAAAGTAATCGAAAATATAGCAGTACCTGATGCTTCTCCGAAACGGCGCTGCCCCTCCTTCGTGCGAATATCTGGGTAGGCAGCCTAAAAAGAGCGGATTGCACAAATAAATTGTAATACCTTGTGCTCCTCATAGTATTCCCAAATTTCCTCTTCGACGGCATCTTTCTCGAGGACAAACCTCAAAAAAAAGTTGTCATGAGAAAATGTTTGGAAAGCGGATAAAGGTGCTTCCAGTTTGGCTGGGTCTAATTTTTTTGTCGGCACCAATACGGTAGAGCCCTATAACGAAATAAAAAAAACACTTTATAGCTTTTTTACACCGTTTTAAGATCCAAAAACTGAGGGCAAAAGAAAAATTTTTCTCGCACCGGTAAACAGGCAGCAGCGAAATAAACGTACTTTGCCGTGGGATGCGATCCCGGAAGCGGCTTGTCTTCCTCGTTCCACCCGGGCAGCGTCTTCGCTGCATTTTGGCAGAACAATTTGCTATAATCAAAATATCACCGCGGAATTGATATAGACCCACATTCCCGCCTCCTGGTCGTTCGGGTCCACGGTGATGTACAAGCGGTCCAGCCGTTTCATCTCGTCCACCGAAAGCTGGCCCAGAAAGCGCCAAACGACTTCCGGCGCATAAACATCGTCGATACGCATTATTGCTGAAATTGAATCAAATAAAAGTTTTTGAAAAGAAAAAAGGCCACGGGAAAGTGAATATGCATGAAATGTAAGGGCATGCATGCGTGAAAACTAGAAAATACAACAACCAGGAACATAAAAGCCACTACAGAAATTATAATCAATCAAATTTTGAAGGACGGTTGATTCGAAAAGCTAAAAGGCAGGAAAAAGTAAGAAAAATCTGAAAAGGGTACAAGCTACAACATCCTACGGGGCGGGCCAGGCAGTCGTACTGAAAATTGTCACTTCAAGATGTTCGGCTTGTGATTCCAAGTTGCATGGGTTTGCGATAGTTGCGTTGCGCTAACCGAAAATAGAGTTCATGTTACCTTCCGCACCAAAATTTATCAAGCAAATAAGGACAACATTCGAAAGTGGTAAATACAATTCAATCGCTAGAATAAGTCTTCAAGTCGCTCTTGGAAATGTCTTTCCTCCGGGTGACCTTCGAAGATGGGCGCGAATCCGGTGAAGATCGGCTTTTCCGGACCGTTCAGACGGCGATTCAGGCTGCTGGAAAATGAACATTGTCTGGCTCACACGCAACGAATTGCGTAAAATGTTAGTAAAGCTCACACGGCCACATCAGTTTTCACACGCACTCAGGTGTGCCATCCGCGACTCGCGATAGCCTCATAGAAGTCGTTGATCAGGGCGGGGCATGCACCGCCGCGCGGGTTCACCTAAATAGGGCCGGAGAAAGGGTTTCTAATAGCAATCTTATACCTTTATACGCGCCTGCAGGCTGCCCCGGTCGATATACGTATTGTAGCTGAGTGAAATGATGCCATGATGACGAATGGCACCGCTTCTGACGCCTAAAGTTGCGCCTCGATGTTTGTATCTGGAAATACGGACCGTAAGCGAATTTTTTCAACGCACAGGCCATCTTCTGACTCGGGTTGTGCGTCTTCATGAAAAATACCATGCCCGAGTTGTCGGTGTGGCCTAAATTATTGGATGAAGGAAAATTCTATAATTCTTACCCGATGCTACTCCGAGATGGTGCTGCGCATACAACGTGTGGATATCAGGGTAATCTTCCTAAATTCCCTTCCTGTCGCGATAAGCTGTAAGTGTACCTCGTGATCCTCGTAGTATTGCCAAATTTCCTCTTCGACCACATCTTTCTCGGCAACAAACCTGTAACAAAATTGGCATTCAAAAAATGGTGGAAAACTTCTTTTTTCCCCCTTTTTAGCTGGGGAGCAAGGCAAATTTTTTAAAGTTAGCCACTGCCGGCACCAAATCAGATAAGATACATTTTTTTAGTGTTTTTATATATCGTTTTGGCCAGAACCTTATAAAACTAAATGAGAACATCTTAAAACCTGAAATTTTACGAACTAGTGTTTTCCCCTTTTAAACAAAAGTTCAGAAAAAAATTGGCTTTACCAAGACACGTACTCTGCGGTCGGATGGCGTCCGGGCAGCGGCTTGTTTTCCTCGTTCCATCCGGGCATCGTCTGCCACGCATTTTCGCACAGCAATTTGCTAAAAGCAAGTTATAGCATGAAGAAAATCTTATGAACTCACATCCCTGCATCTGGGTTGTTCGGATCCACGGTGATGTACAAGCGCTTCAGTCGGGCCATCTCGTGCAGCGAAATCGATCCCAGGAAAGACCAGACGACTTCTGGCGCGTACACGGCGTCGATACGCATTCTTCCTGAAATTGAATAATATAAACGTAGAAGAAAAGAAGAAAGAAAAAAATAAGAAGAAAGAAAGACAATTTAAAAAGAAAGCATCACATGAAAGTGATTATGCATGAAATTGCAATGGCAGGCGCGAAAAGTATAAAAACCATAACTGGCAACGTGAAAACTAATTTACAAACTGTCATAAATGACATTTGGAAGCGCCGGTGATTGAAAAAACAAAATATCGTACTTTTGCACGGCAAGAAGCAAATGTTGTGTGGCTTTCAGGCAAATGTAATTTTGTAAGTAAACTCTGTATATCAATAAAAATTAGGTGGGTAATAGGATTACGGTCTACGCGTAATGGAAAACAATAAGTAATTTGAGGTATCAGAGCGTATTTTACGAGCAAAATCAGCTGCATTAGAGGCCAATATTTAGTTTTATAAGCAATACCACAACGAACCGTTTTTGTTGTTGTTTGAGGCTTGCAGCTCTATTGTGCGTAATTACAGGTGATGAAGAGTTTTATTGTTTTCTAATTTTTGTCTTCTCATACCTTTTATTTAGTAAGTATATTTCGGTAAGATTTGGCATAGATGTATGTAGTTAGATCATTTCATCCAGGCGTTGTTGGAAGGCTTTCCCGTGCCTCGGGCTGCCCTCAAAATACGGTTTGAAGCTGCGGAAAGGCTCCGCGCCGATCGCGGGATCGTGTAGACGTCGATTCAGCACCCTAAATTCTGTTTTTAGTTTTTTTATGCCGTTTCTAGCCTTAATTAACGCATTTTAAGCTTTAGGCATCATCCTGGTAAACTTTGTCATAAAAACTCACACGGCCATGTCGCTCTTCACTTTCAGCCAATTTATAGGCATTCCGCGAGCGGCTGTGATGTCGCAAATGTCATTGATCAGGTCGGGGTACGCATTTCCGCGCAGCGTCACCTTAACGTTTTAATTTTACGTAATTTCGCCTCGAGTTTTCACGCGATTAAGAGCTTTATACCTTCAAGCGCGCGTCGTATGCGTCCGGGAATTGCCGGAAGCTGAACGAGAGAATGCCCTGGTGGCGGAGGGCCCCGTTTTTCACGCCTAAATCCATTTTTAGCTTGAAATGAGCGAGAGAACCAATGGCAAGGTAGAGGAACGCGTCAGCCAGTCTTTCAATATGAAATTCGCGATAGCGATCCGGGAAAATGATGATGGCGGAGTAGCCACGTCGACCTGACGCTCTGCCGAAACGCCGTTGCCCCTCGATGGTTCGGATATCCGGGTATTCGGCCGGAAAATAATTTTTGGCCCTTTTCCTTTTTAGTTTTTAGTTTTTCTTTAGTATCCGATTTTTAATATAAATAGAGGAAGTTTTTTCCAGACGGTTTTCACCTTCGCCAAACGTAACAACTGAAAAGGTTCTAAAACTACAAAAACTTTCCAAAACAGGCGGATACTAGCATTTCCGGGCGCGTGAAAAAGTACCTTATGTTCCTGGTAATATTCCCAAATTTCATCTTCGATCGTATCTTTGTCGCGCACGAATCTGAAGTGATTTTTATACGAAAATTTGCCAAAAAGGCTTACTGAGCGGTGGGATGGTTTCCGGGAAGTGGTTGGTGTACGCTGGCCCATCCCGGAATTTCATCTCTTGGGGTTCGGATGAGGATTTTTCTAAGTTGTAAGGTCAACGAAATGTTAAGTCTGAAGATAAAAAGGGTATTTGTGACCTCATAAATTTTGTTGGCAATGGAAGCGCGCAAATGAATGTGAAATGCGAAAATGTGGCGCAGACGCCGGGCTACGGTACCCTCCAAATCACATGCGCTTACAAGATTTTTGATGGGATTTTTTTCGTTGCAATTCGGCCAATTTGTGCAACTTACATGCCAGCGTCCGGTTCGTTTGGGTCGACGGTAACGTAAAGATGCGTGAATTCTGCCATGTCTTCCGGCGTCAACGACTCCAGAAATGGCCACACGATTTCCGGGGCGTAGACGTCGTCGATTTGCATTGGTGCTGTCTAAAGCTAAATTTACCTACATGGTGCATGAAGTTCTATCCTATCCTACTATATATAAAAAAATAGTTCCTGTGTGTGTGTATGTATGTGTGTGCATTTGCATGCAACTTCCGTCACCGTGTTCCAGTAGTATCTCAATGAGGGGAGTAGTTAGGAGTATGTTTTATACGTCATTAGGTGCGTAATAGCCTTGGGATGACTGCACACTCATAAAATTTTCAAAAAGTCGCTGTTTTCGACGTTAAAATTAAGTTTTTGTTGTAAAATCGGTGACCCTCTTTGTTAGGAAGCAATTAGCATACCCCGGATGTTGTGGGAGCCTATATAAGGGAAGAGAGGTAGCGTTTCTCATTTTTTGTCGTCCAAAAACAAGAGAACTATGCAAAGTAACGAATATCATGGGATCAGACGGGGCCAGGGTTGAAAAGTCGCGAAGCGGCTTTTCAACCCTGGTGATATATTAAATATACAGGGTGTCCCAATAAAAAAGGTCACGCTGGCATTTTGCTATTTCAAATCCGACCGACTTGAAATTTTGCACATAAGTGCGGAAGGGAATTCAAAATGTTCACAGAAACTTTCAGCCCGATCGGTACAGTAGTTTTCGAGTTATTGTAAAAATACTGTTTTTCCCACACTTTAGCGTCATTTTTTCGGCTATCTTTTTGGACTTTGCATCAATTAACATAAATTTCCGGCTCTAAATCGCTTATTCTTCTTAACATTGGCGTCGTTAGCCCTTGTTAAAAAATACTTAAATAGCCTATTTTCGACCCGAATTTCGCGAAATAAAAAAATTCCTAGGATAAAAAAAGGGTCGGCGCTTCATTTTCTCCATACATTCCAGGGCTTAATTCCGGCGGAATCCAGGTTAAAAACGTAAAATAAAGTTTATTTTTGCTATAACTCGAAAACTACTGTACCGATCGGGCTGAAAGTTTCTGTGAACATTTTGAATTCTCTTCCGCACCTCTGTGCAAAATTTCAGGTCGATCGGATTTGAAATAGCAAAATGCCAGCGTGACCTTTTTTATTGGGACACCCTGTAGAGCAGGTTTGAACCTAGCATTCACTTTTGCGGTGACAAAATTAGAACCTATAACTTGTTTATTTTATATTATTGCAGGCTCAAATTAAAACTCTTTCTATATTTTTCGACGTTCTATCGAATGGCGTTGCAAAAATCCCGACGGAAATAGCGAAAATACCGAAGAATTTGAGACCCTTGCTGTGGGGAGGGGGTGAGA